TGGAACCAAACAGAATCAGAAAGGGAAAATGTCAGCAGCACACCGAGGATCACCAATATGGGTCCAAAAGTTTTAATGAACGATTACAGTTACAGCAGGGCAAATTTTCTGAGTCTCACAGGACCCCTTCATCAGTCACATGCCCGATGAAGGGGTCCTGCGAGACTCCGAAACGTTGCCTTGCTGTAACTATGTGATCGTTCATTAAAACTTTTGTACCCATATTGGTGATCCTCGGTGTGCTGCTGACATTTTCCCTTACAGTGTAGAACAAAGGGCACTTCTGTGACCCATAGAAGTAGGGCAAAAAGAGCTTTGGCCTACTTCTCCTTTAACCAAAGTGTCCTCTGCCTGTGTACTGAGGAGACCCATGACACAGGAAAACTCCAGCAGCCAGTCACAACTGTAGCTTAAAGCGTATTTCCATTTTTGCAGCCAAATTGGTATAAAACTTACTTTATATTTGATTTAGATGCTGCTAGATACAGTGAGCTTGCAGACGGATCTCTTCAGTTAGCGTTTAGATAAGCAGGATTAATTTACTACTTGGATTGCTTGCTGACTATCTCTTTATTTAGCGCTCAGATAAGAGGGATTAACTTTCTGCTTGGAGTTCTGTTGAACCAACTGTTGCCAATAGGAAACAGTTGCACACTAAAGCTGTTGATTCTTTATAGGTAGCGGCCTGGTATTTGTTCTCAATTACTTGTGTAACTATACATTTAAAGTGGTTGTGAACCTTTACATATACACAGTGAAGTGTCTGCCCTCATACTTAAGTTGTATGTGTTTACCAGCAGTCTTCTCTTCTCTAAAGCCATTCAAAGTGCTGAATTTTAAAGCTTGCCTGAGAGTTCAGAAAAAAAAGGAGGACAGAGTGCTGAAGTTACACTCTGCAGAGCTCAGTGAGGAAAGGTCTGAGAGCTGATTGGAGGAAAAATATACATCCACCTCCACACAGGTCACAGGAACAGAGCTGAGGCTGTCAATCTGCTGGAGCCTCCTCCCGTCACCATTTTACTCTTGGTGTCAGGAAAACTTGTCAGAAGTGACTCATGCAGATAGCACAGGAACAAAGCAGCAGACAGAAATGACACTTAATTGAGACAAGGACACACTATAGAGGAATATGCTTTGTTCATATTTCATGTCTGAGGTTTACAACTGCTTTAAAGTACAGGTGGATATAAAAAGTCTACACACCCCTTTTAAAATATCAGGTTTCTATGATGTAAAAAAATGAGACAAAGATAAGTCATTTCAGAACTTTTTCCACCTTAAATGTGACCTATAAACTGTACAACTCAATTGAAAAACAAACTGAAATCTTTTAGGGTGGAGGGGAGTAAACATAAAAAAAACTAAAATAATATGGTTGCATAGGTGTGCACACTTAAACTAATACTTTGTTGAAGCACCTTTTGATTTTATTACAGCACTCGTAGCATGGTGCATCTTGACTTGGCAATATTTGCCCACTCTTCCTTGCAAAACACTCCAAATCTGTCAGATTGTGAGGGCATCTCCTGTGCACAGCCCTCTTCAGATCACCCCACAGATTTTTGATCGGATTCAGGTCTGGGCTCTGGCTGGGCCATTCTAAAACTTTAATCTTCTGGTAAAGCCATTCCTATGTTGATTTGGATGTATGCTTTGGGTCGCTGTCATGCTGAAAGATGAAGTTCCTCTTCATGTTCAGCTTTCTAGCAGAAGCCTGAAAGTTTTGTGCCAATATTGACTGGTATTTGGAACTGTTCATAATCCCCTCTACCTTGACTAAGGCCCCAGTTCCAGGTGAAGAAAAACAGCCACAAAGCATGATGCTGCCACCACCATGCTTCACTGTGGGTATGGTGTTCTTTTGGTGATGTGCAGTGTTGTTTTTGCGCCAAACATATCTTTTGGAATTATGGCCAAAAAGTTCAACCTTGGTTTCATCAGACCATGACACATTTTCCCACATGATATTGGGAGACTTCAGATGTGTTTCTGCAGTTTAGCCGGGCTTGGATGTTTTTCTTCGTAAGAAAAGGCTTCTATCTTGCCACTCTACCCCATAGCCCAGACATATGAAGAATACGGGAGAGTGTTGTCACATGTACCACATAGCCAGTACTTGCCAGATATTCCTGCAGCTCCTTTAATGTTACTGTAGGCCTCTTGGCAGCCTCCCAGACCAGTTTTCTTCCCGTCTTTTCATCAATTTTGGAGGGACGTCCAGTTCTTGGTAATGTCACTATTGCCCAATATTTTCTCCACTCGATGAGGACTGTCTTCCCTGTGTTCCATGGTATATCTAATGCCTTGGAAATTCTTTTGTACTCTTCTCCTGACTGATACCTTATAACAATGAGATCCCTCTGATGCTTTGGAAGTTCTCTTCGTACCATGGCTTTTGCTGTAGGATGCGACTAAGAAAATGATAGGAAAGACCTACTTGAACAGCTGAACTTTATTTGGGGTTAAACAGAGGCATTTTAAATGATGGCAGGTGTCTACTGACTCCTATTTAACATGATTTTGAATGTGATTGCTTAATTCTGAGCACAGCTATATCCCACATATAAGAGGGTGTTCAACCACATTATTTTAGTTTTTTAGGTTTGCTTCCCCCCTAAAAGATTTCAGTTTGTTTTTCGATAGAGTTGTACAGTTCATAGGTCACATTAAAAGGTGGAAAAAGTTCAGAAATTATTTAACTTTTTCTAATTTTTTACATCACAGAAACCTGACATTTTAACCAGGGTGTGTAGACGTTTTATATCCACTGTACAATATTGGCAAACTAGTTTTGTACTCAGTGGCAGATTTTTAACAAATAAACAAATAAAGAAATAAAGAAATGTCTTGGCCTCTACCCTCATTTTAGCCACTGTATTACCCTGGAAAGGCTCTTTGTGTAAAACAGAGAGCCATTGTCCCGCTCTTGTTTGCTTCATCAGAACTGTTCTGACAGATCAAAAAAGCCAAAAGAAAACAGCTGTGTTTAGGCAATAAGCGCACCTTTAAATGTACCATTCAAAATCTGTCCTTGACCTTTCTGCAGCAATTCTGAGTATAAAACATATTGCCTAAAACGTTGATTAGTAAGACTTTAGAGCAGGGATAGGAAAGTTTCATCTTCCGGGTCGCCTATGCTGCTGTGCAATTTGGCACATGTCCTCGGAGACACCATAAAATATAATGGTGCAGGTGACTGGCATACAGTGCAAGTTGGGAACTAGAATGTCCCAATTAACAGTATACGTAATTCCTTTGTATAATGCAGGTTGGGAAGTTGGGGGGGAGGATGGAGTGTTTTGGGGAATGGGTCAGGGAGTCAGAATTAGGATGAGGAATTAAAAAAATAAATAAATAAAAAGGGGGAATTATCCTTTATGTCTTCTTTCCATTTAATTGCAGACAAATAGCTAAATGTGGTTATAATACAGTTCTTACCCTGCAGGGAAAACACTGCCGCGCTCTACAGATACAGTACAGTGAGTAAGCTTTGTTACCCCAGGACAGGAAGTGTATCACTGGCAGGATCAGCAGGTGAAAAAAAGCCAGATAAGTCTAAAAGAACAAATAGCCTTTAAATTTACCAAAGAATCATCTTGAAATTTGTCAAGAAACTATGTAAACTGTGGGCAAGCTTAAAGGATGAGTTCACCTTTTAACAAAAAATAATGAATGCACATTTTTTTTGCAGATAAAAATGTGCATTTATTATTTTTTGTTTATGGAGCCTCTAAAGCATTGCACAAGCGATCAACAGATTGCTGGTGCCATGCAGGTCTCCCTCTGACCTGACAGTACATCTGCTTGCTCGTACATTCCGTACAGGCAAGCAGATACTGACAGGAAGAATCAATTAACTACCACAGCGCTGTGGAGCACAGTGGCAGTTTTATAGAAAATTACAAGCAAACAGCCGCAAAGGCTGACAGAATTTGTAGCTTTCCCATTCACAGAACACTGTGAATGAGTGATGTGGCTAGATGTGCAGATCCTTGCACAGCACCTTTTTTTGGAAATTGTGACAGCTAGCAGGAGGGAGAAGATCCCCCGCTAAAGGTCACAACAGGCATTTGGGGGGGGTTCAGGGGTCAGTCCAATCGTAACATGTTACACCCTGAATATGGGTGTAACATGTTACAAAATGTGATCTTATCCTTTAAAAAGCGTAGCTATACTTAACTCCACTCCAGTGATGAGATTTCACCAAGCTCCCTCGCTAGCACAGAATTCTCCCTGGCTTCTGCTATGTTCAGGATCTTTGGCAATCTTAATTGGCCAGGATGATGTTACTCCCAAGTTTATTAATCTAAGGCATGCCATGAATGTACGCTGAAATGTGCAACTCAATGTACATTCTACCCCAAGGTACATTGTAAGTCCATTGAAAAAAATGGTCAGTGGGGAGGAACAATGATGCAAGTAAGCATTTAAAATACTTTATTGTTCTGTGCTTTTTAAATAGTATATGGACAAAGGTATGTAGACAAGCTTTTCTGGAAAGACTTAACACAAGGTTACAGAGTTTGTGCCTATTCAGCCAACAGAGCATTTGTGGGGTAGGTACTGGTGCTGGATGAGAAGACCTGGCTCTCACATGGTGTTACAGTTCATCACACAAGTATTCATTAGGGTTGAGGTCAGGGTTCTGTGAAAGCCACTCAAGAACCTCCACACCGGATGCGTCAAACCATGTCTTTATGGAACTGTCTTGGTGGACAGGGCCACATGTTGGAACAGAAAAAGGCCTTCCCTAAATGGTTTCTACAAGGTGCACAATTGTTCAAAATGTCTTTATATGTTGTAGCATTACTAGTGCATGTCACTGGCATCAGCTAACCTCAAAAATGTGGAGTCCATATATTTTTGGCCATATAGGGTTATGTATGAGTGTAAATTGTTTGACCATCATAATATGGCATAGATGAAAGGTATGAGGAGCAGGGCTTAACACCAAATCAGAGTACCTTTAAATAGAAACCTCTCTATCAATGTTTGCTTACCAGATAAGATACTGGAGGGTTTTTCCTTCCCAGAAGCTCAACTTCCTCTAGAACCTGGTTAAAGACAGACACCATTCTACGTTCATACTCGCTGTCCGCTTGTATGGATCCACTGAAACTGCATTCCTGGAAACTGTAAAGTCACAGATAGTCAACCTGTGCAACAAACAACTTTAGAGATGTAATTGATTCGAAATACAGTCTGACAACAGAAAGGAGAACTGAAACAAGTGTATCCACTAGAAGATTTCCCCTCACCTCCTATACTGGTAAAAACAGTAGCTGAAGATTTCTGATCACTATCTGTCCCTGTGACAATCATTACTATAACAAAGAGGCTGAATCTCCCCAGCAGGTACACAGACTTGTTTGTGTTTAGGTTACATTCTGTAGGAGTGCCAATTAAATCTATACCCCTTCTCTGTGCTGATGGTCAAGAGATTTACTAGCTGTAAGCCCAGCTGCTGTACACCAAAACTATAATCTACTTATGGATAATAATGACAGAACAGTTAAAAGCAAAAACGTGCAGCACTCTACAACAAACAAATATTTTCAGTACCATATACAAAGTTTACCATATCCAGTGCAGTAAATCTCTAATAACCATTTATTGTGTGTGCAATACCTTCAGCTACTCCGTGCAAAAAAAAAAATAAAAACTTTGTGCAAAAGCAATTTTGTTTTTTAAAGTGCTCATAAAAACTCTAAATTATTATTATTATTATTAATGTGTCCAAATATAATCATATGGTCCAACTACAGATTCATACACAAATTGTCCACTCTTCTTGATAGTGCTTCTAAGTAAATGCTTAATGTGCCATACATAAACTTCAGTGCTGGTTATTTTTATGTGCTACTCCACTGCCACACCCCTCCCTTGTGAAGATGCACTCAACTGACTGTATGACCCCCTTAAATGTAATAAAGCCAGCCATAGCTGGATTGACTCTTGGCTGGCTCAACAGGAACTTGCCGAGATTCGATCTATCTATGGGATGGCTAGCTGCACCCAAGTTGATCCATCAATTGACTTGGGTACAACCAGCCTGTCAGATTTTTTACATGTGGTTACTGCCAGAGTGTAACCACTAGCAGCAATCATTGTGTTCTGCTGCACAGAAAGGCTCTCCGCTAGCAGAATACAAGAGCGCTGCAGGAGGGAAGAGCCATTATATTTCAGGTTGCAGGAAAGAATCGAGACATCTATGGCTTGCCTTAGTCTCAATGTGCTTTTTGATATTTGTTCCTATTCCACAGGGCTTCCTCCTTTCCCACCCTGTCCTCTTGTACTAGCATTCAATACCAGCCTCCATCTCCCTTCATTCCACCACAAGAAGCAACTTGGAAAGATCCATACATAGTTTAACAGTTTTTAATTTCAATTGCACGCTTACATTAGATGATGTCACAGTATTTTGCCTTCTAATAATCTCGGTGCTACCAGCCTCATGGTTATTAGAGGTTTAACACACTGGATTTGGTAAACTTTGTATGTGGTACTGATAATATTTGTTTTTTTTTTTTGCAGAGTGCTCCACATTTTTGCTTTTACGTTCTGTGGGAGATTTTCCTCCACTTCCCATTTAGTCACTGGGACAGAAAGCTTTGGCAAAAGACACAAAACAACTAACTCCTTTTCCACCCCACCTAGAACTAGGGAAAAATAAAAAAACACCTTTAACTGGCACTCATTTACACACAGAAAAAAGGGAAATGCTTTTGTCCTACCTGCAAGAATCTGGATCCAAGATTAGAGCTTCTATGGTGTGAGATATTAAAAGGCAACTTTGTTGTTGTCTGGCATAAGAGGCGCTAAGGAAAACCAAAAGAATATTCTAATACAGAGCACACTGTGCACATTTTTCTACAGTCACATAAAACAAAAATCAGTAAAAATCTTCTCTTCCTAGTACTTATGGGGGTGAAACATGTTAAAAGGAGACAGAGCAGAGTCTGGTTGGAGTCATTATGCTCGATGTATAATGTAGGTCAATAAAGTTCATTAAAGGGAAAAAAAAAAAAAAGTTTGGCAACATGCACCTTTTTTTTGGCCTAGTAAGTCTTATTAAACCAATCTACAAGATGTTTTCGCCATCACTTTGGTGTTGTAGAACGTCCTGTCAATAAAGGAAAAAAAAAAACCCCACACACACAGCATCCCAACTTAAATCGATAATATAGGATGGAAGCGTGGTGACCAATACGGCGACGATCTTTGTTTACCCTGTGTGTCATGCCTTATGAGGGTTCATAGCCCTGGATTTTTATGTGAGTGCAGTTTTAATACTTGTCTGTGAAATAAAAATTGGTTACACTATGAGAGGCTCCTCTCTTTATATTTGAGCACATCCCTGAGTTGGATACTGTCTGGAGGACATGCCTGCCAGCCTTGACATACAGAGGACTGAGGATTTGGATTGAGCACTTTTCTGACCGATTGATCAATTCGTAAAGGTGAGCGTGCACACCTGGTGGTGGTGACACAGCGGTGTACCAAGAGAAGGATCTCCTATCACTTTTATATGATCGAATGTTTAGTGGGACTTTTTCACTACCACATTGGACTGTCATTTTGTACTGATCACTGTGTTATTGTTCACCCTGTAAATTTTTTTCATGTAAGAGCACTATACTGATATTTGTTCCCAGGGCTGAGACTAGCAGGTCGGCCGAGTATTTACTTTATTGATCTACGTTTAGGATCTTATTTATTTATATATATTTTTTCGGTCTCAACAGTGTTCTTATTTAATTTTACAAACACTAGATTATTGTGTTTACAGCCTTTTGAGTTAGGCCCTGCTGAGTGTTTATTATTTTTAAATTTAAAATGGTTTGTCAGCTTTTTTATTACAATTGAGTTTAGATGGTGGGGGGGGGGGGGTTATTTAGTATGGTTTTGGCACTTGTTAATCTACACCGCAGCACTCTTCATTTGTTAATATCCCAACTTAAAAATATTTATTTTCAAAGATACCGAATCATGTTATCTATTAACCTACTGTTTTGTAAAGGTTTTATTCATTGAGGTTTTAGTGGATTTCGCAGACAACACACAGAAGCTGCACAGATGCAATAAGCCTGTACATTGAAGATGTGGATCTCTGGACTCTGAGTGGGAAGGGCACTGTTATTCTTCTACACCCCTCTACTCCCTATCCAGGGAACTTTTCTTCTAGTTTTGTGTGGACTTAACCTAGTGGAAAAAGCAATGACCATATGGAAAATCTAGTATTGCAGCTTCAATAATTTTTGCAATCCAACTGGTGGCTACATGTCAATTAACTTTACACACTCAATGCACTTTCCAGCTATTTACATAAAGTAATAATTTGGTTATCCATCTGCAATACAATAGGGTAACACATGCAGGACCAAGACTTGTACACAAATGTTTCATGGATACAACTCGATGTTTCTCAAAGTTGCACAATCAGCATCAAAGGAAGACTGATACAGATCACCGTAACGAGTAGCGAGATTCTTGAACTCTTCCATAGACTGCTTCATCTGTAAGACAGACAAAATAGCAACAGAGGTAGGTGTGTGTATATAAAATTATTTATTTATATATCATTGACACATCAGGACAGTAGCTCAGTTCAGGAAGTTAGAACTCTAGTAATAAAAGCAGAACTAGATTTTCACTTGTGATAATAATAGGTGGTCCAAGTCTAAAGAAAGCCATAATTACAGGGTTATCAGATGTCCTGGTGTAAACACACACTAGACTCCAGTAGTAGCTTAGAATTCAATTTTTGACTAGCTTTAAGAGAAACAATAAAGAGTCATTGGAAGAACACAACAACAAGGATGGTAGATTACCCTGCAAATGAAAAAAAAAAAGAAAAAAAAATCAGGGAGGTTACATGGACAAAAAACGGAATTCCAATTGGTTTGAAAATGTGTTTGAAATGTTACAAATGTTACAAAAACATTTCTGTATTACTAACAGATTAGCAATCCAAGCAGACTACTGCATCCATCAGCTTGTGCTTAACCCTACACGCTGTGGACATAGCACGTACGTTCAAAGAGCTGAAGTAAACGCCTGTACACGTGTGGGAACATTAGCGAACATGCAGTTGCATTTAGAAACGTAGAAAAAAAGAAAAGAAAAAAAAAAAAAAAAAAAAAAAAGGGCAGGCATCCATGGAAGTGGCATTTTTCATGCCTGTGTGCATGTGGTCTTAAGGTGTCAGCCATCAGCTAAAAGGTGTGGGGAATCAATAGGACCTCTGTCACGTCTTTAATGCTGTCTAGGTCCTTGTTAGGATAGGAAGTGGAGGAGAATATTCTCTCATTAATCTTCGGCATTGGGAAATCACCAATTTGAGGGTATGCAGGGGCAGAGGACTGAGTTTTTCTACTGTAAATAACAGCCACAAGCACCCAGGACACACTTCATTCCAGGTAATTAGCGTCTCTGATACTGTTAAAAGAAAAAAAAAAATCACCTAAAACTTCAGCTTTAACTAGACCAGTGGTTCTAAACTTCAGTCCTCACGTACTCCCAGCAGGTCTTGTTTTTAGGACTTCCTTCACCTTCCACTGGTGCTTTAATATATCAAAAATGTTAACGGCTTGGTATTCATGAGCGCTATTTTATGTAAGGAAAATTCCAAAAATATGGTCCATTGGGCTACTTGAGCACTGAGGATGGGAACCACTGAACTAGACCCTCGAACTCCATAGTTTTTGTTATATGTTACTGTTCCGACAGATGCAAGTCTTAAAGTGTTACTAAACCCAGGACCCTGCATTCACTATATCTGATCTCCCCGGACCCTGCATTCACTATATCTGGTCGCCCCCCGGACCCTGCATTCACTATATCTGGTCGCCCCGGACCCTGCATTCACTATATCTGGTCGCCCCCCGGACCCTGCATTCACTATATCTGGTCGCCCCCGGGACCCTGCATTCACTATATCTGGTCGCCCCCCGGACCCTGCATTCACTATATCTGGTCGCCCCCCCCGGACCCTGCATTCACTATATCTGGTCGCCCCGGACCCTGCATTCACTATATGTGGTCTCCCACAGTACAGACAGCATGGAAATGCAATTATTTTAGTAAATATAAACTGCTAAATGCTCTTTATCATGAGCAGTTGGAGCAGTCTTGTGACTTCTATCAGTGTCCAGCAGAATGCTGGTTAAAGCTTGTAGGAAGAGTTTTTCATTCTCCTCTAGGAGGATGCAGAACCCCTGACCCTCTGTCTGGACAGTGTTGATTGGCCCTGTGCTGATCATATGCACTCTCTCAAGAAAAACAAGTGCAGAGTGACTCCAAATCGATTTTCTATCAGGAGATATTTAGGGGACAATGCAAGAAGGTGAAGATCAGAGAAGAGCAGTTCAAACAGCCTTTTTGCACAATGTGGAGGATTAACCCCTTAGGTTCAACAGAGTATAACAAGCATGCTTTACTGCATATACAGACAAATTTTACTGTTGTGGGTTTAGTAACACTAACTAAAAACAAAAATGTAATATATCACAGCTTAGCCATAGATGGGTAAGACATAGTTCATAGATGTACTGGCTGCACTGGTTTCCTTTATTTTTACCGTCCACAGTAAAACATTTTTTGTCCTAGTGTGACAACGCTTACTCACTGTACTGCATCTATAGGACAGCTGTATTGTCACCCTAGGTTGCTTTCCAGACTTGGACGGCACCTTTACACCTTGCTGGCTCCATTACATAGAGAAATACAAAGACCAATACCCCACACTAGTAAGGGGAGCTTAGTGATCCATCATAAAGTCTTGTAAGAGGCCTACAACAACACATCCCAAGGTTAGGTGTACTACGCTCAACAACAATGCTGTTAGACAACATAAGTCACAAATTTATTAAAATCCATAAAACTCGACATGTTTTGAAAAATACATATCTCCCTCTTCAGAAAATGTTGTTTATCTAATATTATTGTGATCCACCTCCTTACTCTACACCATGTGGCCTCCCATTATCCAACAACATTATTGTTGAGCTTGATGCACCCTGCCTTGGGATGCGTTATTGAAAATCTCTTTGGAAGTCAACTGCAAATTCCTGCTATGCAACCTTGTCAAACCATGACACAATTTGGTGTTTCCTCAGCCACTTTCCAAGGCGAGCTGCATTCACAGATTTCAGTTTTCCTGTTCCCCTATACTCTCAGATGTGCTCTGCCATTTTTTTTTTCAGTATCCACTACATGGAAAAGTTTTGTATTTCACCAAATATAGCTGGAAAAATGGATAACAGATTGAGATTTCAATCAGTGCACAGGAATTGACAAGGACACTGGATTCCTGACAGGATCAACAGTTATTTTTTCTGTACTTACAGAAAATGTACTTGGCCTCAAAAAAGAGAAATAATACTGCTACCACAACTAAGGACCAGTAGATCTACTTTAATTGTTGTTTGTGCCCCATTAGAGATACATTATTTACTTCAACTTCCTGTCTCAGTGACTACCATCACCAGACCAAGATGGAAAGAAAATCCTCCACAAAAAGGACACAGATGTCAATAAAAACCAAAATCACCTAATAAATAACCAAGCTAAGGATCCCAAATGTGGTGAGCAGATGCTCCTGCCCTGTGCTGGAGTTTCTTCTCACAGGATCCTCAGCTTTCATGGGTGCTCTAAAAGACCTTACATTTTTGTTCCACTGTAATATACTTCTGTACAATAAATATTAGATATTAGTCCCCGCATGTGCTTTTACAATACCTGGGTAGAAATGCGCCCACAGCGCTGCAGATCATTGCCAGAAGCCATGGCGATCGTGGAGGCGATGGCTGGAGGAGGGCTTGTCTTCAGACTGTTACATGTGCAGATGAGTTGGAAGAAAGCTTGAAGAAGATCTATACGTAGCTTCACAAAGTCACATTGGAAGCTTAGAGGGCTCATGGGTGTACTGGCAGCCTGCAGGGAACAAGTCACATAAAATACTGTCTAGGATAAAGCACCAAAACATATCTGTACTATCACACGCTAGTAGTCACTGCTACTCACTGTAAGGGAGGCAATCCCTTTATGGTAGGATTTCAAGGAGTCCGCAATGGATGAGAGGGCGGAGCCAATGTCATCTTCTTGCAGCTGAGTCAGGCACTGCTCAGCCATGGAGAATTCCTTCAGACTGTTCAACCAGAAATAGAAGTGCTCAGAGGCGACCTGTGTGAGCAGGCTCTGATACAGCTCCCGAGCCATATCATGGTTCCCCTGCACCATAAACAAACTTTATTTAAAAAAATTATATATATATATATCATGGCAGGAGATTTATTAAACAGAATCTGCTGCAGCTGTGCATAATAGTAACCAATCAGCTTGTAACTTCAACTTGTATAATCAAGCTTTGATGATAAAACCTAGAAGCTGATTGGTTACTATGCACAGCTGCACCAGAATCTGTGTGCAGCAGTTTTAGTAAAATCTCCCCCCATGGTGTATGGATTTTTCCATTATGGATATCCCCTTCTTCAGGCCGAGCTCTCTCTAAACATTTGAAAGCTGTGGTGTAACACAATTTTCATATCAGAGCAGCTTATCTCAATGTTGTGTTTTCATTGACTGTGATAAAACACCACAGAGAGGAGTTTGCAAGTATGTTAACTAAACCAGGGCTTGAAAAAGCCACTCGCTCGCTCGCCAAATGCGAGAAGAAATTCTTTAGCGGTGAGCACAGATGATGGAGCGGCTGCGCTCCAAGCCTCATTGCAACGGTTTTCCAACTTCCAGTTTCTTCGGCACCGCCGCTGAGGGGACAGGTGCAGGAGAGGTCCACTCTCCTCCACTGAGAGGAGACACCCTCTCCACCGCCGCGGGGGACTCAAGGTAAGTACTGTATACATGTCATATCACTATAATGGAGTTCAGGGAAGCTGGGATATACATTACTCAGTAATGTATATCCCAGCTCCCCTGTACTCCATTATAGTGATATGCCATCTATACAGTATGTATATCCCCCTCCCCTGTACTCCATTATAATGATATGACATGTATACAGTAATGTATATCCCCCTCCCCTGTACTCCATTATAGTGATATGACATGTATACAGTAATGTATATCCCCCTCCCCTGTACTCCATTATAGTGATATGACATGTATACAGTATGTATATCCCCCTCCCCTGTACTCCATTATAATGATATGACATGTATACAGTAATGTATATCCCCCTCCCCTGTACTCCATTATAGTGATATGCCATCTATACAGTATGTATATCCCCCCTCCCCTGTACTCCATTATAGTGATATGACAATGATGATAATCATTACTGTATACATGTCATATCACTATAATGGAGTACAGGGGAGGTGGGATATACAGTTTTATATTTTGGACTGTTTATTCTAAAGAAAAATGTAATTTCATAAATGTTAAGGGGGCGTGGTTGGGGGCAGGGCTGGGGGCAGTGCTGGGGGTGGGGTTGGGGGCAGACTGGGCAAGATTGGTTGGGGCAACTGGTGGAGAGTAAGGTTTATGCCTGGCTAGTACATCTAGACTCAAAATTTTAAGCCCTGAACCAAACCATTACAATTGTTGTGACTTGTGACCATTTCAAGAAAGGACTTTGCTGGAAGCACAAACTTTTGCATGGAGGTGAAATAGCTACAGTCAGTCCTATTTTAAATTATGAAAATGCAGAGAGACTTGAGTATTACCATTCGGGAGGCTTGTCTGGCAATCCTATACACAGTCCAGCCATTGGACACATTCTCTAGCTGCTGTTTGATTACAGTTTTGACATCTGGAGACAGAGCTTTCTGACTTGCTACGAAAATAACAGTGGCAAGGGCAACCTGAAGAAAAAAAAGCCAAAAATAAATACAAGACATACTTTTAACAAGAAAAACAAACCATGTATAGGTAAAAAAAAAAAAAAAAAACAAACAAAATAACAAGAAGGTAAAATGATAAAAAAATGTGGAGAAGAATGCACAAAGAAAGTGATACTAAACCCAGGACCCTACATTCACTATATCTGGTGTCCTACTGTATACAGAACATGGACATGCAATTACTTTAGTAAATATAAACGGATAAATACCTTTTTTCATTGGCAGTATATAGAAGTCTTGTGAATTCTATCAATGTTAAGCACTGGTTAAAACTTGTAGGAGTTTTCATTCTGCCACAACTGTCCCATGAGGCTGCATATCCTCTGACCCTCTGGACAGTGCTGGTTGTCCCTGTGCTGATCACATGCATCCAGCCAAAGAAAACTCTCTAGCAATACACTGAGCAACTGAGCATGTGTACAGTGACTCCTACAGCTCTACTCTATCAGCAGATGGATTGGGGACAGTAGAAGGAGAGGATCAGAGAAAACAGGATCAAACAGCCTTTTTAAACAATCCAGAGGATTAACCCCTTAGGTTCCACAGTAAGCATAACAAGCATGCTTTACTGCATATAAAGACTGATTCTCCTGTTGTGGGTTTAGTAACACTTATTTTTTGTAAAAAGGTGAACTTATCTTGTAAAAAATTGTTTGCGGGTAATAAAATGTGCATTTATTATTTTTTGTTTCTCGAGCCACTAAAGCATTGCACCAGTGATCAGCAGATCACTGGTGCCTTGCAGGTCTCCTGCAGACCTGTCAGTACATCTGCTTGTGGTCTGGGATGTACGGGCAAGCAGATATACTGATAAGAAGAATCAAGGAACTACCACAGCGCTCCACAGTGCCGTGGTGGTTTATTGAAAACTACAAGCCAATAGTTGCACTATTACCTCCATTCCTTACAACAGGAGAGCAATGAATATGCAAACCAAGCTTGTCCAGTAAACACTGAAGTAAACAATGGGCCCACTCTTTCCAACACATCAAGCCAATCATGCAGGAGCAGAGCAAGAAAAGTATGTTTTAGAAGTTTGATTGCTATTCGTGAAAAGCAGTGGGTCTAAGTGTTCCTGGGCTATCAGTTGTACTGCACTGTACAGGATAAAGAATATATTTTTCGGTTTGTTGTTGATGAACAAGCTGCTTGAGATGATGAGAAAGCAATGAAATTTGCTGTTAACTTTTTGCCTCCAAAGCTATGAAGCCTATATACCACTTTGGTTCAGGGATTTATTCAATTGCTCTTTAGGGGGTTGGGAAGAAAAGGTCTTTCCTTACAGCTTAACTACATGAAGAAAAAAAGTTTCATTTAAATATATTCCTCAATAGCCACAAACAATATAAATGCACTGTGTGCGCACTAAATGCCTTTGTAAACCCCAGAAATTACCTTGTAAAAGTATCAGCAAGATCGCAGTGCTGTATATAGACTGTACAGAGAGCAGAACTGTGAAAAGGGACCAGCAGGCCCACCACTACAGGCTGTCTGCAGAAAACTACAGGAGGGGGCAAATACAAGACCAGTCACTCTGCACTAGAAGAAGGTGCAGCAGTGACCGGTCTTTATTACAGGAAGCTCTTCACAGAGACAGAGCAGTACTTATTCCATGCTGAATTACAGCATGGTATACAGAGAGTAGTACAAGCGCCTAAGTATAAAAGCAACAAGCTGCTATGAGAAGGTACCAATGACCCTAGGAGAAAGCAATGTATATAGAAAGTGCAGCGCTCGATAATAGAAACAATGGAAGAGCAATAAGTCCTTATCTGATCATTAATAAAAAATATGTATATACAAAAAAGTTTAAAAAATAACAAAGGATAGTCCAGCAAGGACTTATTGCTCTTCCATTGTTTCTATTATCGAGCGCTGCACTTTCTATATACATTGAATTACAGCATGGATTGAGGAAATATTATAGTTTAGGAGAAGCATTTGTAAGGACTGAATGTGACTTTCAACAAACGTTCACTGGTACTGAAACAATCAGATAAACGGCCCCAGGCAAAAAGATCAGTTCTGTGAGGCCGCATATTTGTGTGATGTCTGTGCCAAGGGGTTAAAAAGGTGACAACTATAAACTTTACCTAAACATGGGAGGCAGGGTGACTAAAGGCCACATATATAAAGCCGAAGTATCCCCTTAACGTGGCCATACTGCTGTTTTAAAAAAGCAAAGCCCTCCTTCCATTTGCTGTGGAGCCCTGAAACAAGGGAAATTCTAAAAACCACATTTGTAAAGCACATCACAGTGTTTTTTAGATGTGCATTTTATGGCTTTTTTAATCTATCAAAGTCTTGAACCAGTCTTTCCTTCAATTAGGTATTCTCTCTGCAATGTAAATCAAAGAGATTTGTGATACACTCCAAGCACCACATTATGACCTGCATTTTTATGAATGAAACATAAAATGCAGGGTGCAGGATTGAGTACCTTTGTGGAGTAAAGCGCAGAGTGGGCAGTGGTATCCCCGCTCTGCTCTAAAAAGCAGAGTGCTCAGTACTCTTCGCTTGCAGTACTTGTGTCATGTGTGGGGAGTCCCAACCAGGCACTCAACCTGTTAAACAGGATGTACACACTTCCCCATGTCTATTTAGGTGATCTAGTTTCTGCCAAAGCTAAATCAACATTGCTGGTTAACCATATTTGACCAACTTGTTCTCAGAGTGTGTATGAGTGTGACTGTAGAACTGGGGAAGGAATTGCAAGATCCACTGGGATATCAACAAATTGGTTTTATACATTCTGTAAAGTTCTACTGAATGTGTTAACATAATGCAAAATAAGAATATTTGATAACTCACCAGAAGCTCTTGTTGTTTGTCAGTTGCTGATCTCCCAATTACTTTGTAGAGCTCCACCAAATCTCCCAGCATGCCGTCCCCCAGCACTGGCAGCTGCATGGCGACAGAGGCCAGGCAATGGCATAGACAGATCCGAGCAGAGTCCTGGGCACTGTGAAGCTGGGTCAGAAGAGACTCCACAACGGACTGGCTCAGGTATGGCCGGCACTTTGCTAGCTTCACCATACAGGACAAAGCAGTCTGAGGGCACAAATGCACAAGTAGTAGTAGTAACCTGCTATTACAACAACTTGCACACATTGATCATTTCATTTTCACTGGGTTAGTTAATAAGAGATGTCAGAGGGAGAAGTTTATAATCAATGTTCTCAGCCAGCAGTTTGAAAGTCATATAGCCCATTTACACCAAGACTATGCAAATACTGACCAAAAGAATCCAAGCCTGTGCATAATGAACTTCAGGGGGCTCAGAGGTTGTCTCTGAAGAAGTCAAGATACGACGCAAAATGTTTGTTGTAGCACCCAACAGTGCTTTCTTTGCAAGCCCAGCTTATATTTTTTGAAGATTACAATAAAGTGTATGTCTGGTAAAACTAACAAACTAAAAATATGCAGTACATTCCTGCAAAACGAGTACACATTTAAACCTTTAAAAACACTGCAAGTACAGAAAAATAGCTGAGGATCTGTCAGAAAAGCAGTGTGTGCCTAACCTCCCACTTAGGCTGACAACACAGTGCCTCTGTTACGCTGAAGTCTCATGTTGCCCTGTCAGCCCAGCCTGCTAGACTACAGAACCCCACCTAATCCCTCTCTCCATCCCTCTGCACTTGTATACACTGATTTCTTTGCCAGCAAAACAATGCCAAAGCCTTGACTCCGAAGAGCCTGTCCAAACATCTGTGTAGAAAAAAGGCTCTTGGAAGATTTAATTCTGGGGGAAGTATGCATATGCCATTATGAACGGAATTCCAGCAGCTGCTATTTCAAGAATTTTAAAAGCCTGATGATGATGCCACGGGGAGAAATAAAAGCTGTTTCTACCTACGCGAACAAGGTAAAAGCAAAGAACTAAATAATGCTGGGACATGCTCTAGAGCAGCCTGGGGTGCCTTGGGGTTTCTTCAGGGGTGCCTTGGCAAAATGTCTAAAAATTGCCCAAAAATTGCATACAAGCCAGTGGGTGGGACAAGTCTACCTTTTAGCTACACAAAGCCATAGGTTTTCATTGTGCACCATTACGACCTTATAGCCGCCAGCGTCCTGACAACCAATGACATCATCAGTTAAGGAGGATGTCAGCTGCCTGTATCAGTGCTGGGGTCACATTAGCTGAATGATGGAGAAGAGAAACATTGGATTACTAGTCAGTACCAGTGTGCAAGAGTGTATTTGCTTTGGAAGAATAAATCACCTCTAATGTTGTGTGCCCTACATGTGTGGATGTTGCTGTGTTATATACAACTATTAGAATAGTCTTTCACATTTAAGAATGGGGTGCCTCAAGACTGTCCATAATTTTAAAGGGTACCTGGACTGGAAAGGTTGAGAAACACTGATCTAGAGCACATGTCTAACATGAGGCCTACGGGACGAATCTGGCTCACCAGGTCATTTCACGTGGCCCTCGGACACCTCTGCTGCAGCTGCGTCACCCTCTCAACTCCGCTCCCACCTTGCCTCAGCAGTTGGCAGCAGAAAGGAGGACAGAACTCTGTCAGATTCTGTGCTTCTCAGTGCAGACACAGAGAAGCTCATCCCTGCATCCTCAAACACCCCTCCCCCATCTCAGCAGTCTGAAGACAGACCTCCTACAGATCCTGCCCCTCTCTGTGCAGCCTGCAGCACCACCTCCTCTCTGCCTCCCCTGGTCCCATCATCCAACTATTGAATTCATACCAAGAAAAGCTGTGTCTTTTTTTTTTTTTTTTTTTTTAAATACAAAACCCAGCATGCATTACAAAACAGAGGGTCATGTGTAAACTCTGTAATAAATGTTTATTTATAAAATAAAGATATTCTGCATGAATAAACAACGGACTTAAAACCATTATAGTTTCCCTATAAAATAAAAGTGGACATCACATACCTTTAGTGTGTGCTGAGCACCTGCGCTGTTATCCTGACTGCACAGAACAAGCAGAGATTCCAGACCATACATAGCATCCTTCTCCAGAGACAGCTGATCTGGTTTATGAAGAGAAAATAAAGAACACGTCAACGTTTTTTTATGATATGATCATTACATCATATAACGTATAGCTCAACTAGAGACAAAACATTTTGTGTTCGGGAAATGTTAGGAAACCGAGTAGCAAAGAGCCAAGTACTTGTCAGAAAAATCAAGTAGCAAAAGAGTTTCCTAAATTTCCATAAAAACCAACATTTCTGAGACATACAGGCCCTCTTTGCCATGTGCCATCCACACCTGCTTTGCTGTAACCATTGGTAACTGACTCCACTCTTCTCTGAAACACTGGGATACTTTGCATGGCTGAAATCCACATTAACCTTGCTAAGACTTTTCAAACTGCTGTTTATACTGGTTTGTATTGAGTTACACTTACTTTTCATGGTGCTTTGACCAAGATCAAACACCTATCCTTATATTGCTGTCTCCATCCTGCTTTGCAATCTGTTTAGGGCAGCAAACTTCCACGTTCACCATGTGTCTGTTTTATTAGCTTTTAAATTTATCAAAATTGCTTAAACTCCCCCAATACTATGTCAGTATTGATTTAGTTCAACTGTTAGGACGGCTTGCGAGGTCAGGCTTGCCACTTTCTGTGCAAAGTGCCAGTTTTTTGCTTTCAACATGGCACTTTTACAAAAGCAAGTACAAGCAGTAGTGCTCTAGGCCAAGTTGTCTAGAAGTTCCCTTTTATCTTTTCGCTCTCCCTCAGCCGCTTTCTTCTCCTCTCCCTACCCTCCAACATGCCCATACCAATCTCCTTCTTTGCAATAAAGCTCTCTCTCCTCAATTTCTTTACACCCAAGATCGATCTCTCAACTGCTCAACTGGCTCCCTCAATCTCCTTGCGTATCACAAATTTACTGAGCGACATATCCATATGGATGTCACACCACTTCCTCAAAAATTTCTAAAACTGAGCTTGTAATATTTCCTCCTCCTGGATCCCCTCCCTATGACTTTACCATTGAAATCAACGGCACAACCACTGGTCTCTTCCCACATGCTAGGGTGCTAGGTGTAATCCTAGACTCTGACCTCTCCCTCAGTCCCCACACCCAATCACTAGCTAAATCTTGTCGCCTCAACCTCAACAACATTTTCAGAATTCACCCCATCCTAACACACACAAAACAACTTATTCACTCTTAGGTTATTACCCGCCTTGACTACTGCAACTCTCTCCTTACTGGCCTACCTCTACACAGGCTATCCCCCCCTTCAGTCTATTATGAATGCTGCTGCTAGACTAATACACCTTACTAACCGATCCGTGACTGCTGCCCCTCTCTGCCAATCTCTTCACTGGCTTCCACTAGCTATAAACTTCAAAATACTAACCACAACATGCAAGGCCATCCACAACATCGCCCCCAGCTACATCACCAACCTCATCTGCAGATGTCGCCCAAGCCGTCCTCTCTCATCTCTTTCCAAGACCTCCTGCTCTCCAGTTCCCTTGTTACCTCCTCCCACGCGTGCCTCCAGGACTTCTCCAGAGCCTCTCCAATCCTCTGGAACTCCCTGCCCCAGTATGTCCGGTTAGCTCATACCCTGTCCGCCTATAGAAAATCCTTGAAAACTCATTTATTCAGGAAAGCCTACCCCTCCCTCCACCTAAGAACTGTACTTGAGTCACCTCCATCAGATCATCCCCTGTAGCTATTACCTTTTGTACCACCTCCCCCTTCCTTTAGATTGTAAGCTCCATGAGCAGGGCCCTCCAATTCCTTCTGTACTGAATTGTATTGTAATTCTTCTGTCCCCTTTATATTGTAAAGCACTGCATAAACTGTTGATGCTATATACATTTTGTTTAATAATAATGGCGATGAGACACAGTAACAACCACATAATGTGAACTACAAGAGTGTGTGTATAATATATCTATCTCGAGACCATTCCATCTGCTCATAAACCCATATGCTGGCTTCAGGGTTCCAAACACAATGCCAAGGAAGCAGCAACACTTGCCCAAAAACAGAGCATATTAAAGTGATGGGCTTTCTCGGACTTTGGATTGTTACAGTGTGTCCGTGGGCCATGTACCCTCCATCATGACAAACAATGGACAACATTGTGGTACAGACTAGAGTGTGTGTAGGTTTTTATTTTGTTTGTTTTTTTTTTTTTTTTTTTTTTTTTTTTTTTGAGACTGTGTCCTCTCTTGGGATATGATCTTTCAATTTCTATATAGTTACCAAAACAAAACAAAAATTCAAAAGGTTCTCTGGTGTGGACACAGCAGGAAATTCTTACAAAGGATCTCTATCGGAACCCCAAACAGATTTTGTTTAATGGTTTAACCGCTTAAGGACTGACCTACAGTAGATATACTGCTACAGGGCGACACCTGTGCGCAGAATCACATATATATATATATATACACACGTGATTTTGCAGTCCGGGTAGAGAACGCGTGTACAATTCGGTACAAGAGGAATCAGAGAGCCCGGCTCGTTAAAGCTTACAATCTAAGAGGGAGGGTTGAGTGATACAAAGTGTAATAGCTGTTGGGAGATGAGCTGATGGAGAAAGTAAAAACACAGTTTATTAGTTAGAAGCAGGATAGGCTTCTTTAAAGAGAAGGGTTTTCAGGGATCGTCTAAAGATGGATAGGTCAGGAGATAGTCGGACAGATTGAGGTAGAGAGTTCTATAGGATGAGAGAAGCTCGGGAGAAGTCCTGGAGGTGAGCATGGGAGGAGGTGACACGGGAACTACAGAGCAGAAGGTCTTGGAGGACCAAAGAGAGGTTTGGTTGAGATTTTGAGCAGAGGTTGGTGATGTAGCTGGGGGGCAGAGTTGTTGATGTCTTTTTAGGTTGTTAGTATTTTGAATTTTAGTTTGTTTTCTTTAAAAATCAGCCTCGGCCCAAGTACAAAAGCCTGATAAAAGGATCATCAGGAAGATGAAAAGATCAGGAAGATAGCCTACATATTCAACAAACACATCTAGTCGCAGCTATCAATAAATGTTATCAAAAGCCATTCTAGGAAAGATTTTTGAAACAGTAATGCTGCATCCCAGGCAAAGGGCTAAATACACAGACAAAATACATATATTAGAACAGTTTTATCCGCCAAAGATTTGTATTTGTCTATCCAGCTCTGAGATTTACACAGCTCTGTCCTGTCTGGCAGGATAAGATACCAGACGTTCTTGCAGTCTATTAACACTCATAAGTTTCCTCCGCACCCAAACTTTGCAATTGGACAGTTAAAAAAAAAATGCAGCACACAGATCAGCGTATCTCTGTCAATCTGCTCTCCCCTCATATTAGCATGCTCCCTGCAATGCATCAAACCTGATCGGCACCTTGTGATGCTTCTCCCCCATCTCTGAGCTCTGCTGCAACAGGACAGCTTAAAACACAGTCTATGATTACATACATTAACATTTTCACACATATAGTATGTAAAAGCTTAAAAAACAATACTATAGGTTCATTTTAAACAAAGTTGAAATCTTACCTATATCTTGACAAGATGAGACAATATTGGTGAGAATGGTCACTCCATGTGCAGCAATGCTGCGGTTACTGTGGTAACTGCACTCCTGTGCCAACTTTATCAGATCAATGTACCTGGCGGTACCAGATGTGGCCCCTAGAAGAGATGAAATTATTGGCTAAGGTAATTATTAGCCAGGAACATCCATCACATGTATGTAACTACATTTCATTTGCTTGGCTGGTATTGTAGGTTGTCCATTCATCTGTAAAAACTTAAAGGCTAGCATAGTCCATAGCAAGATATAACAATCTTGTTTTATCAACCTTTTTTGATAAGGAGGAACTCTTTAAATCACTTTCTGCTAATAAATACTTTATCAGAATGATAGTCATTGGGAAGAAGGCACCCTATGGCTTTGGGGAGAATGCTGCCCTTATGAATAGATAAAATGATCAATGATGTCATGGTTACTTATCTGAGAGGCAGAAATTGCTCATTGCTCAAGGAACCCCGTTAGCGACCTCTGAACCCCAGAGTTACATGGAACCCTGGTTGAGAAAGGCTGAGGTACAGGGTCACACAGTAACAAGTGAGGCACTAGATGTGTGTAATCAGGCAATGCAGGATTACCTATACAGCTATATGATTTTCATACACAAGGGAAAATATCTCTTCATGAAGAGAGGGAAACATACCTTCCATGTCTCATGGCATCCATTTACAGCAAAGTAAGGGGATTTCAGAAATGAAGGTGCACAATAACGGTCACAATTACTAAATACATTTATATGATTATTAAGCAAAAAAAAAAGAAGACAAATTATCAGCACTATTGAGTCTCTGGTTGTTTTTTTTACAAAATCATAATTCTCAGGGCATAAGGGGGGGCTATTCACAGACCAGTTCTGTGTTAATTGTTTTCATATTATTTATAACTTAGTGAAAAAGAATAAATGGGCCTGCTCCGAATGGAGCAGTGAGGAGTGGGGGATAGCGCCTCATATCCCCTCAGATCTTGATATATCTTGTCCTGGCATCAAAGTCAGATCACTTACCTGTAAACACTGTGCAAGATCCTGGGGAAATCTTCACTGCACAGATGCCCATCATCTTCCAGCCTTTGAACTTCCAATGCTGCAAAACTTAACAGCTTTGGGTCTTCAGGCAGGACATCGGTACTGATGGTGCAGTGGGGACAGCTCCCCACCTTCCTCCCCTTCCAGTGAAAACATCTTTACAATGATTTGCTTGCAACAAGATCTGTAAATAGGGAGAGTCTGGTAAGTCACAGGATTTTCTCCGCCATTGACAGAACGTGTTACAAGTAGTGTAATCAATGAAATCATTTCTCAAAGTTGTTAAACAGTGCATCACCAGAAGTTCAAAAACAGGAAGAGGACAGGCACTCTCACAGTGCAGATTTTCTCCAGGATCCAGCTGCCTGCACAATGTGGTACATACTTCATCAGAAGTAAGATGTGACTAAAACTGTAAATAATTTCTTTTAAAATTTAGCTAAAAACCTAATCACACATACAGAACATAGGTGCTGCAACCCTCATAGCATATTCCAAAGGGAGTATGTATCTCACCATGCAACTCCTGCGGTTTCCATCCCCTGAACCAGTAAAATCATATAGGATCTGCAACAAGATGAAGATTCACCTTGTTGTTGATCCTATATGATTTGATTAGCTAAACTGAAGCTTTAATAATCATCTTTCACTTTATATATGTTGTCCCATTATTATTTGTACTCCTCCTGTGCACACCCCAGAAACTGCAATATCATCATTATACAGTCTTGTAATCTTGATGAGAAGATTGTACCTTGTGTTGTGTTCAAGTATTGCTTAATGCAAATGCTCCCAGACAGAGTAGACAGAACGGAGACCATGCCCAGCTTCAGACTGTCATATGGGGTTTGCAGAGCACACTCACACAGGACCTGGGGGAAAAAAAACAAAACAAAACAAAAAACACCACATTAATTTGCTCATCTGCTGCAAGTTGTATAAGGAAATGATGGGCGCAAGGCGGTTATCTCGTTCTGGGAGGAAGTCATATGACGCCCTACCACTGGGGGGCGCGCAGCGCGGCGATTGGTAGTGTGCTGTGTCCCTGGGACACAGCGTATCAGCGGAAAGAGCCTGTCATGTCGGTTCCGTCATGTGATCAGCTGTGTCCAATCACAACTGATCACATGTAAATAAGGAAATGCAGGTTATCAGAATTTCTCTCTTCAAGAGCTGTCACGCTGACAGCTCATGAGGAGAGGAGAGCTGGTAATTGGCATTCCTCAGAGGGGACATCTACGCTGATCATCAGGGCAATGATGATCAGTTCTCTGATGATCAGTGTAGACCAATCAGTGCCACCTGTCAATGTACATAAATGCCACCTGTCATTTCCCATCAATGCCACCTGTCAGTGCCCATCAGTGCACATCAATGCCACATATCAGTGCCCATCTGAGCTGCCTTTCAGTGCCAACTATCAAGGCCGCCTATGCGTGCTGCCAATCAGTGCCACCTAACAGTCCCCATCAGTGATGCCTGTGAATGCCAACCAGTGATGCCTGTCAATGCCCCCTACCAGTGCCTCCTCATCAGTGCAGCCTATCATTGCCGCCTCATTCGCGCACATCAGTGAAGGAGAAAAATTACTAATTTACAAAATTTTATAACAGAAACTAAGAAAAAAAAAAACTTTTTTTCCCCCAAAATTTTCAGTTGTTTTTGGTTTATCAAAATAAAAAAACCAGTGGTGATTAAATACCAAAAAAAAAAAAAAGACAAAAATTTCATATGGGTACAGTGTTGCATGACCGCGCAATTGTCAAAGTGCAACAGCGCTGAAAGCTGAAAATTGGCCTGGGCAGGAAGGGGGTGAAAGTGGCCGGTAGGCAAGTGGTTCAATTATTATTTTTTTTTCTCATTAACCTACACTCAGTACCCCATAATGACAAAGTGAAAACAGAATAGTGTAGCTCAGGTTCCTCCCATTTCTCTTGATAGTTGCTGAGATGTTTCTACACCTTGACTGGAGTCCACCTGTGGTAAATTAAATTGATTGGACATGAGTTGGAAAGGCAAATACCTCTCTCTAAAAGGCCTCAGAGTTGACAGTGCATACTGTATCAGAACAAAAGCCATGAGGTCAAGGGATTGCCTGCAGAGCTCAGGCACAGGATTATTGCAAGGCACAGATCTGGGGACAGCTATAAAAAATATTTCTGCTGCACTGAAGGTCCTCAAGAGCACAGTGGCCTCCACAATTCTCAAATGGAAGACGTTTGGCACAACAGGACTCTTCCAAGAGCAGGTTGCCCTGCCAAACTGAGCAATCGGGGGAGAAAGGCTTTAGTAAGAGAGGTGACAAAGAACCCAATGGTCATTCTGACTGAGATACAGAGATCCTTTGTGGAGATGATACAAAGTTCCAGGACAACTGTCACTGCAGCCCTCCACCAATCGGGGCTTTATGGCAGAATGGCTAGATGGAAGCCTCTCCACAATGCAAGACAAATAAAAGCCCACTGGGCGTTTTCAAAAAAGGACCTAAAAGACTGTGAGGAACAAGATTTTCTGGCCTGATGAAACCAAGATTGAACTGTTTGTAGGAAACCAGACCCTGCTCATCACCTGCCCAATACCTTCCCGAAAGTGAATAATGGTGGTGGCAGCATCATGCTGTGGGGGTGTGTTTTAGAGTAGGGACTGGGAGATTGGTCAGAGTTGAGGGAAAGCTGAAAAGGAGTAAAGTGCAGAGATATCTTCAATGAATACCTGTTCCACAGTGTTCAGGATTGAAGGCTCACTTTCCAGCATGACAAGGATCCTAAGCACACGGCCAACACAGAAGTGGCTTAGATACAAATCAGTGAATATCCCAGAGTGGCCCAACCAGAGCCCTGACTTTAACCCTAATGAACATCTCTAGAGAGACCTGAACATGGCTGTCACCAACAGTCCCCATCCAACCTGACTGAGCTTGAAAGGATTTGTAAAGAAGGGCAGAAAATCCCCCATGCCAGGTGTGTCAAGCTTGTTGCATCACACCCAAAAATACTCGAGGCTGTAATTGCTGCCAAAAGGTGCTTAAAGTAATGTGTAAAAGGGTCTGAATATTGAAGTACATGTAATATTTAAATTTTTTTTCTTAATAATAAGTTCAGACATTTCTAAAATTCTGTTCTTACTCTGTCATTATGGGGTACCGAGTGTAGACTAATGAGAAATAAAAAAAAAAAAAAATTTAAACAAATGTAGTATCAGGTAGCAACATAACAAAACTGAAAAAAGTGATGGGGGTCTGAATACTTTAGGAATGTAGTGAGTGTGTGAGATATAGATATATATATATAATTATTATTTTTTTTTTTTTAATATTACACACTTTTTTTTTATTGCTTAGCTGTGCCAAGAGCGATCAGGCTCCACCTGGTGGTCCTTTTTGGGTACTGTGCACACATCTAAGTTTTCATGTTAAAGTCCTTTTCAATGTAGGATAATGGCTTGTTATTTTACTTTAATTTTTTTTAAATGTTTTAACTTTTCTATTAATGTGGTCACTTTTAAACTTTGCTGGCAGCAGATAAATCTGTATAGTTTATTGTACTCTATCTTGGTTGCGATCCCAAGCAGCAACTAAATGAACACCTTGTATACTGGTTTTTATTATTCTTCATTATATTTGCATTCTTACACTCAATTATTCATTACTAGAATATTCCTATTTTAGCAGATATTTGTTGTTGCGTTTCATGTAACTTCTCAGTATTAAGCCACATCCAGTAGTAGTTCCTTTATCACCTTTTTGTCTTTTTTCAGCCGGACTAACTATGTAACCTTGTGAATGCTGGGAAATGTAGTCCAGGTTAAATACTAAAAGCCCCCTTCACAATAGGTTCTACAGGCTTGAGAAAGGAGCTTAGGTGGCTGTGAAACATGTAGCCCCACCCCTTTTGTGGTGCAGCAACAACTGATGTTACTTCCGGTTTGGTCCTGCGCTCCACTGAGATTCTGGGCTTCTTAGTCCCTGGTTTTCAGCTGGAAAGCAACAGTGAGACTCCCTAACCCATCACATGGGGCTCTTTGGAACCTATGCTGTCCACAGGGATCCTGCGAACAGCATTGTGTGTTTTGGTGCTTACAAAAGGCAGTGAAGAAAAAAAATATTCTTTACACTGGTTTCCATTATTTAAACTATTCTGTTCATTTTTTCAATGCCATCTTAGTTTTCTTGTACTGCCCCATCCCTTTTCTCTCATTTTTTTTTTTATCTTCTTTACTTGGATATAGCTGAGAAAAATATGATTTTTCTTCACATGACGCTTTAAGAGTGCGCCATACAGGGTAACAAAGCATATCTTCATACTGGTCAAGCTGCATGGTTACAAGTACAAAAATGCATTAAACAATATTTCTGACAATAAGGGACAATTTCACACTGTGTGCAGCAATATGCTTTCCCCCCCCCCCCGTACTGGATAAATGCAGGTCAGCACTAAAGCATATAGACAATAGTTGTTTTCTATGTGCCCAGTTCATACCAGAATGCTGGTGTGATGTGCGGTGCAGTGTGGAAAAATGTAGCATGTCTCCAGCACTCTCCTTCTCGGCCCACCCCCACAGAACTGAAGTCGGGTAAGTTTTTGTTTGTTTACATACAGTTTTTTGTTGCTTGAAAAACTCAGTCCAATCACCCCTCCACTCCCCCAACTTCCAGAATTAGCTTAGGTGAATGATGCGGTGTCCCCCAATGCCTCCTGGGATGCATTACCTATAGTCTCATTCAGTAAGAGGAGGGGGCGGGCCTAGCAGTGTCTGCAGCTGCAAGAACTAGTAGCTGTCACAAGCAACATGTTGGTGCCAGACTTGTGCAGTGGCTGCAGAGAGGAGGATCGCAGCAGCTCAATGCTGGATCCACTGGCTAGGAGAGTATACTTACTGTGCAGGAGACAGTAAAAGGTAAGCAGGGGGCAAAAAAAAAAAAAAAAAAAAGGGGGAGCCTGACGTTCCTCTTTAATGTGTCTCCAGTCAATAACTGTCTCCTGAAGCAACAAGTACTATACCACGTTTGCAGCGTCTTACCATCTCTTGCAGCATGCCTGCAGTTTTTGGGCATCTCCTGTTGCTTGTCTGTGGTCTCTGGCAGCTTTCTGTACAACTACATTTACTTGATATTATATACGGCCCTTTGGTGATGTCAGCACTTGAAGGCCCCTATATCAATTGTTCACTACTGCTATACGTAGTGGGTAGTTGAGAGGGGTGCAGTTTAACAGCTGTATGCAACAGCCCTAACTTAATCTTTGATTATGCTTCTTCTTAACCACTTGCCCTCTACAGGATTTACCCCCCTTCCTGACCAGGCCATTTTTTGCGATACAGTGCGTTTTTTTTTTTTTTTTTAAATTTTTGCTATAAAAAATATCCAGTAAACAGAAAAAAAAAAAAAAAAAAAAATTCTTCATAAATTTAGGCCAAAATGTATCCTGCTACGTCTTTGCTTAAAAAAAAAAAAATCCAAATACATGTAAATTAATCGGTTTACATGAAAGTAAAGCAAAGCATTTACGAATGGCACTATGTACACACACACACACACACACACACACACACACAGTTTCTATTTATGTATATTTTTTATACTAGTAATGGCAGCGATCAGCGACTTATAGTGGGACTGTTGCGGGCATTCTGACACTGGGGGGGACTAACTGCCACGGACATCCCAATGACACGAATACAGTGATCAGTGCTAATAAAAAGCACTGACACTGTACTAATGGCACTGGGCAGGTAGGGGTTAACATCTGGGGCAAACAAAGGGTTAACTGTGTGCTGTTTTACATAATGTGCTGTGTGTTATACTAGGGAGACATGTTGCTGTGTATTTCTCTGCTGTGCAGAGTAATACACACCAGCATGTCCTTGCTGGCAGGAGAGAGACCTGTGTTTACACATAGGTCTCTCTCCCCTGTCAGTTCCACATGGCAATCGCCGGCGGTGCCCATAGGGTGGCGCACATGCAACCCCTATCTGGAAATGCACATCACATATTCATATACGATTCTGCAGAGCCTACAGCAGTAGTTCTACTAGAGAGCAGCAGGGAAGCAGTTAATTTGCCAATAAATAAAGAAAAATAAGGATTACAAACCTGAACATTGTCTCTGCTCCAGGTATGGGGAGTTTTGTTGGCAAGGAATTTCAGGTCTTGAATAGCAAGTCTCTTCACAGCTTTTCTGGGATCATTTTTCAGGTACTGCAGCAAAAGCTGAATCTGTAGAAACATAGCAGTTAGCTGTATTGGGTACGGGGAATGTGGAGGCAACACAAAAAAAAAAAACGATAAAAAAGTTTAAAGAAGTGCAGGAAATGTAAAAAAAAAAAAAAAGACATACTGACGTACCTACTGCAGCTGTCCACAGCCACCTCTAAGTCTAAGAACTGAGCGATTGCTGAACGCTCAGTTCTTGGGTCTGCTCTGAACACTGACTGTCCATCACCACTCCGAGCTCTGTCCCTCCAGTGCCCACAGGAGCACCAGACTGTGGAGCGGCTGGCTCAGGCTCTCAGCAGTGCATTGAGAGGCTGTGCCAGCTGCTGCTCAGGAGTTTGGATGGATCCAGACATTGTCATGATCTCCTCAGAGACTGGAGCTGAACTGTGACATCAGCAGACAGTGAACTTTAGCCTGCCGTCAGCAGATTCTGGGTCACAGGAGAGCAAAAGCAAATGCACAAATGCAACAAACTTTGTCCACACTCTTAATTCAGCCCCACTCTGATACACATCTAAACAAAGATGCTTACTCACTTAAAAGGCATGGTATAAATACACATTGGGGGTTATTTACTCAAACTGGAGAGTGTAAAATCTGGTGAAGCTCTGCATAGAAACCAATGAGCTTCCAGGTTTTCTTATCAAAGCTTAACTGAACAAGCTGAAGTTAGAAGTGGATTCTCTACCATGCACAGCTGCACTGAGCGCTCCAGTTTTAGAAAATCTCCCCCATAGCGACAAGATGCACATGGCATCCCTTTATTTTAAAAGAAAAACTGCGCAGAGAGAAATACATTTAGACTGCCAATGCTTCTGTAAAATGATAACTTTTATGCTGGTCTCTTTTAAATCAAAAGCACACTTGCGGTTTCTTTCTGCCTTATGAAAGATCATGTCACAGTCCCTCTGCTCCAAATAGGTTGGTGTATCTGTGGAATCCAGCAGACTAGCAAGTAACCAAGTGTGAGAGAGAAAGTGGCAGGAATATTTCACATCTTAAAGTGCTTCGTAAATTTCTTTACACCAAACACAAAAGTAATGCTACCTTACCTCAGCCATTAAAAGATCAGTACAACCAATCACTATACCTGTTTTGGAATGTCAACCAGTGAAGATGCAGCCAACAGCGTAAAGGTGTGCAGAGTGACAATCACCATCTTTGTAGATGGATATGACGTCACCAATTGCTGTAGAAGCTGCCGGCTGTTGGATGCCAAAATGGCGTCATGGTGCATGTGCTGGAGTATCGGAATGAGTTTAAGCTTTAAGTCCACTGGGGTAGCCAAGCCTACAAGAAGTACAGAAACAAGACAACATGTGAGATTAAAGGATATCTACAGTCTAACAAACTTAAAGCTAGTGATGCAATGAAAGGAAAATTCTGGACTGAAACAGAAAATTCAGGATGCACTCTGAAACCAAAAACAGACAGTTGTTTAAAAATATATGTATTGTTTATATATAATTGTATTATATTCGATTTAATTAATAATACATTTAAATGAATATGAATTTAAAAAAATACAATCCAGTGACATAAAATAACTTTTATTGAAAGTAACACACTTTTTGCACTGAAGTCAGTTATCAGTATTGGCACTTTTTTTTCTCCCAATTGGCAAAACACCGATAACCCTGTTGTCAGCTGATACATCAGTGCATCACTACTTAAAGCAATATTAAACCTGAAAACAAAAATGTAATATACTGCAACTTACCAATCGTTGGCTTTGATGGTTGCATTCGTTTGCTTTTAAGTTTTTTTTCCCCTCCTATCACCTGCTGATCCGGCCAGTAATACTCCCCGTTTCAAGCCTGGTAAACGTTTTATTTTTTTTTTTGTTCAACCCAGCGGGATTGAGAGGTCACCATACTAACTATGCGATGTTAGTGCAGCAATCTCCACCACTGAGCTATTGTGTTCTGACAGGGGGGCTAAGCCAGCTCCCCCAACACCGCAGAAAAAAAAAAACGCACTGATCGGCACTCACAGCCATTGGCTTCTTGTGCTGATCGGCTACTAGTCAGATGCTGGTTTTCCAGCATGTTACTTTGAAACAAAAAGATAGTCTGAATGGATTCTGTCGGACAGGCAGCTGTACGTCCGAACGTACGCTGGTTCCTGCTGAAATGGCCGATATTCAGATCATGTGTACTCATCAATAGGGTGTTTGCATTTTGGATGATGTAGCAAAACAGACACCTCTGGACAGTTGCATTGTCAGTCAGGGGAGAGGATAGTGTCACACTAGCGGATTTAGATGAAACAACAAATCGAAGTTGAACTCCATCAGCTAACACTTTTATAAAGTAGTTAAAGCAGTTCTTTCCTGTTGAAAGCAGCAAAACTGTACATAAGCCAGTGATGATGTCACAAGATAGAAAACAGGTTATCAATCAAAAAGGGAGCCATTATTCTGAAAACTTGAATGCATTTATTTTGACCTGACCTCAGGGAAAATGGAGCTAAGGCTTCAAAAAAAAGGTCACGATCTTGGAATTCAGCTTTTTATATGCCATGGGGCAAAATGTGTAGGCATGTTTGTACATGTGAGTGGGCTTAAAATATTTTTTTTGAGAGAAACAAAATCATCAATTAAGGACCCCTTCCTGAAAAAAAAAAAATATTAGCCTGGCTATTATGCGGATTCAGAGGTGGGTGACTCAGAAAGAATTGGAGGTTCCTTGCCATCGCCCTCATCCTTACTTCCCTATATAGTGAATTAGTAACCTGAAACAAACATGCAGCTGTTGATAGCTCGCCATACATTACTCAGTTGGCTGAACTAAAAAAAAAATGAGCCAATTTCCTCATCCACACATTCAAGGAGGATGGGAAACTCCCCTGTCTTTGTACTCTAACAGCAGGACTCTCCCACCATCAGAATACAATGATCAGCACTGCAGACCATTGGCTACATGCACTGATCGAGAGGAAATTTTCCAACAAGCCTGTTCATTGAAAGTCAATCGACAGATGGATTTCTCATGAATGGGAACAACCATACATGAAATAAAATTTGTCCGGTTCCTGCTGAACCAGCTGAATTTCAACCCGTGTATGGCCAGCGTTAGTCTGAAAAATAATTATCAAAGAAAACAAAGCCGTTTTGCTGAAATCGTGTTTACTTATTTGAATTCACCACTTTCCCGCAACTAGATTCTAGAGAGCAATCTAAAAGGTCAATTGATATGTAAATCCTGGAGCTTGAACCAAGTAGCTTCAACTCTTTCCTGGGATGAGCATTAGAATTATTTTTTACTTTGAGTGTTTTCTGCATGTGGGAGATAGTCAAGAAGTCTGCAGAGGGCATGTTTAAGAATATCCCTCCTATATAAAAACGGTAGCCAAGCAAACAGTATTACCAGATCAACAGATTACCGGTACAAGGAATTGGGGTAGACAGGTGCACTATAGCAATTCCAGTACAAAAACATACTGAGCAGCTAGGCTGTGTTCCTTAAATGCATCTCAAAGTTTAAAGCAGACCTCAAAGACTAAAATTCATGCAACACATGTATATATTAATACATCAATATAATATACGTTTTAAAATTGACCTGGTATCAGCCTCCAGCAGTTACTGTACAGCGCAATGGGCAGAAATACATTGTTTGGCAGGTAAAACAGCTCCTATGTATGTATTTCTCCTGTGTATTTAATGGTTTGCTTGGACCCATGCCTCAATTTCCCGTTGAGTACATCTTTAAGGAGCAAAATGTATAGTTTTTCAAATAGAAAAATTAATTAGCAATAGAAGAGAAAGAAAAAACATGAACAAACCTTGAATCATTTCCCCAATTTTGTTGCAGATTCCAGCTGCAAAATCCCTACAAGGAGAAGGTAACAATATTGTTTACTAAACAGTGTCATGTCACACCATATACATATATACATGAGGTGCAGGCTTCCCTGTTCTGAGCTCAGAAGTATGCTTGTTTGACTCCTGTTCTAGCCCCACCTTCCCATCATCCTAAGATACTTATCAGAATCCTGTCACTGATCCAGCACTGTCCTGGCTGCAACACCACTTCTCCACTTCCTGGTGTCACAGGAAACACATAGCTGTGGGAGCCATAGGTTCCTCCTGCTGTCAGTCAAACTCGTGTGAGGAGGGAGCGGGGGCGTGGCTTACTGGTGCTGTGCGTGGCTATGGACGTACACAGCCCAGAATGGGAACATGTGCACGGGTGCATTACAGCACATGGTTGGCTAAGGGGGCACGCAGATAAAGAGGGGCAGGGGAAAACCAGAGGAAGTGAGGGGCCGCTCTGTGAAATATCATTGCACAGATCAGGTAAGTGTAACCTTTGTTTTCCATTTTTCTTATTATTTTCACTTTAATGCAGACTTGTTAAGAAACCAATAAACTGCCCAAGCGGTCATATCACATGTATAGTTATGACTGGTCACCCTAAGGCATTTCTGCAGCACCTTTCATCCTCTCCCAAAAAAAAAAAATAAAAGACACACACACTTTATAAAAAATTCTATATAGGCAACACTTTAAACCTTGAACAGCCCTTACAGGTCATCAGTTTAGAGTGCAAAATGTTCATATGTGGGGGCAGGGTGGGCTCTTTTTTTTTTTTTTTTTTTTGGAGGGGGGGGGTAAATGTGTGGGTGTAAATCTACAGCCACCAGATTGCTTCCATCTGAAAGTCAACAGTTAGCTTGTCAAATTTACAACTGTGTCTGCAAACTGCTTCAAGGTCAAGGAGTCAAACTGCAGAATCAGAAAAAAAAAAAAAAGAAAAAACACAAGCTCTTTTACTGAAAGGAAAAAGAATCGTCCAACATAGGGGCTGCCCACACAAGATTAATAAACTTTGGGACCCTTGTTTCTGTCTCCACCGCTCAAGAGTCCAGTGACGCCGTGCTTTACACCACTGCATCTGACGTGTTGCATTGCACTTGGTGATATAAGGCTTGGATGCAACTGCTCAGTCATTGAAACCCATTCTATGAAGCTCTCTATGCACTGTTATTGTGCTAATCTGAAGGCCACATGAAGTCTGGAGGTCTTTAGCTTTAGGTATTGACTCTGTAGACAGTTGGTGACTTCTGCGCACTGTACGCTTCAGTATAACTCCACTCTTTCATTTCACTTAGCCAACCACTTCGTGGCCGAGTTACTGTTGTTCCCAGGTGCTTCCACTTTGTTATAATATCACTTACAGTTGACCGTGGAATATTCAGTAGCCAGGAAATTTCACGGATAGACTTATTGCAGAGGTATATGCCCGTAATACCATGTACTTATGTTAAAAGTATCCTGTGCGCTTTGTATTGCTTCCTTTGTGTGAAAGACCTGGTGATCCTGTCAGTCCATCTGATTTCCCATTTCAAACTGATAATGGGGATCACATCCAACCCAGTGTGGCCAGTTTTATGGTTGTGCTGATAGAACGGCATGGTTGTCAACCAATGACCAAACTTGTGCTGACCTCCCCCTTGCACAGCCATTCAACGGGAATATCAGTGTGCTGCTGCTTCTACACCCCAGCCTCTCCAAGCCCCTTATGCAGACAAGAACGGAGATAATGTGATCACTTCTACATTAAAAAAAATATTTTAAAATTTTTTATATACATATAGATACACACGTTTTGCCTTCAATTTCTATTATAAACTCAATGGGTTGTTTTACAAGGTAAGGGCTTACATATACATTAAACGTAGCATGAAGATGCAGTCTTCTAATGGCGAGAAGTTATTTATCATAGATGCCTGGGTTGCTTTGAAAGCAAATGTCATTACATGATTCATATAACTTACAAAATGATGGACTGTTTGTTTTTTGAACTGTGAAAATCACAATAAAAGCAATTTGATGAAAAAAACTACTGAATCAGGACAACCAAGGAATTGGAATTTTCAGAAGGAGAAATCAGCTAAAGGATTTAGAAAATGTACAGTTTTCAGTAGACAAGAAGGTGAGGGGAATATTCCAATGGATTCACCCGTTCTGAAAAAAGATTTCCATTCAAATTCTCTTTAACGTCCTGTTATGTCTCCTGTACAGGAGGTAAAAGAGAAATTACCCAAGAGTGGACAACACCACCAATAAATACCTGGAAGATGTTCTAACCCTTTCACACTTTCTTTAACAGCAGTAGAAGACTCTACATTTCAAGTGAGCTGATGTTTAACCACTTGCCTACAGGGCACTTATAGCCCCTTCCTGCCCAGGCCAATTTTCATCTTTCAGCGCTGTCACACTTTGAATGACAATTGCACAGTCATGCAACGCTGCATTAAATTTTTATAATTTTTTTGGGACAGATAGAGCTTTCTTTTGGTGGTATTTAATCACCTCTGGGTTTTTTATTTTTTGCTAAACAAACCAACAGCAACTGAAAATTTTGAAAAAAAAAAAAGCTCTCTCTTAGTTTTTGTTATAAAATTTTGTAAATAAGTGATTTTTCTCCTTCAATGATGTGCGCTAAGGAGGCTGCAGTGATGGGCACTGATAGGCTGCACTGATGGGCATTGACAGGCATCACTGATGAGCACTGAAAGGCAGCACTCGTATATGGCACTGATAGGAGGCACTGATATGTGGCATTGATGTGCACCGATATGTGGCACTGATGGGCACTAGCAGGTGGCATTGATGAGTACTGACAGCTGGCATTGGACACTGACAGGTGGCACTGCTGGGGCTACACTGATCATCAGGGCACACTGATCATCAGTACCCTGATGATCAGTGTACATGTCCCCTCTGAGGGATGCAGATTACCGGCTCTCCACTACTCACGAGCTGTCAACATGACAGCTCTTGAGGAGAGAAATGCCAATAACAGGCATTTCCCTATTTACATGCGATCAGATGTGATTGGACACAGCTGATCACATGACCGGGCCGACATCTTCGGCTCTTTCCGTTGATCGGTGATACGCTGTGTCCGAGGGACACAGCGCACCACCGATCGCCGCGCGCGCCCCCCGGAGCCACGCATGCACGGTTAGATAGGAGGACGTCATATGAAGTCCTACCAGAATGAGAGAACTGCCTTGCGCTGTCATTAACTTATATGGCGGGCGGAAGGCAGTTAAAGAATGTATTGAAGACAGAGGCAGACAGGAAATAAGCACTGTAAGATTTCTTTTGTCACAAGATTTTTTATTTTTTTATTTTTTTATAGCATGACTCATGTTGAGATTTGAGTTTAGTCCTGCTTTAATACAGATCAACAAATCAACACTTACTTTGATTGTGCAGAAAAATTGGCGGCAGCAAATATCGCAGCCTCCACCTCCACATTATCGTGTGAATCCAAACTCTGACGTATACTGTGATGAGCGTTCTTTCGGTCTGGAATTATGGAAGCCAGACTACCCAGCATACTGACAAAGAAACAAGAGAACATAGAATATAGAACTTTACACATTTCTTAAAAAAAAAAAAATCAAGGTACAAATATTAAAATATATAGAATTTGCAAACTGAAAGATCAGAAATTGCAGCTTTCGTATTTCTCACAAAAAAAGTTATCTTTAAATATCAATGTGCTAGTCAGGATTCTACCAGTGTACTCTGCACAATGTGGCTGCTTGCCCAAAAAGACTGAAAGCATTTTGTAAGCTTTTCTCTAAAATCAGTGTAGCGCTCCTGGGGAATAATAAATGAATATCTCTAACTAAAACATATAATCTCCACATGCAACATGGTACATAAAAACAAACAATACATAGTTATAAAAATAGATTACAAAAAAAAAATTTTTTAAAAATGTATAGTGCCCACTGCATAATTATTTAAAACCTATACAGTGTGTGGTATTGAACACATCACCATCTTTTTCAGTAAACATATTTCTAAAGGTGCTCTTGACTTCAAATTTTAACGTTGGTAACAACCCATGCAATCCATACATACAAAGAAAAAAAAACAAATATGTTCGGAAATGAAGTTATGTGTAATAAAATGGAATGACACAGGGAAAAAAGTATTTAAACACGCTAAAAGATTTATTTAATACTTTGTATAAAATCCTTTGTTGGTAATGACAGCTTCATTCAAAGCTCATGTATGGAGAAACTAGTCTCATGCATTGCTTAGGTGTGATTTTGGCCCATGCTTCTACACAGTCAGTCTTCAAATCTTGAAGGTTCTGTGGACCACTTCTATGAACTCTGATCTTTAGTTCTTTCCATAGATTTTCTATTGGATTCAAGTCAGGTGATTGGCTGGGCCATTCTAGCAGCTTATTCTTTCTTTGAAACCAATTGAGAGTTTCCCCAGTTTTGTGTTTAGGATCATTGTCTCGTTGAAATGTCCACCCTTGTTTCATCCAAAGAGTTCAATTCTGGTCTCATCTGAATAGACTATATTCTACCAGTATTTCACAGGCTTGTCTAAATATTGTGTAGCAAACTTTAAACAAGCTTCAACATGCTTTTTCTTCTTTCTGAAGCTCTCAAGTGGTTCTTGGCTCTTGAACAACTCTTCTGATCATACTTTTCACTCCTCTGTCAAAAATCTTGCGAGGAGCACCTGGTCATGGCCAGTTTATGGTGAAGTGATGTTCTTTCCACTTCCGGATTATGGCCCCAACAGTGCTCACTGTAACATTGAGAAGTTTAGAAATCCTTCTGTAACCAATGCCATCAGTATGTTTTGCAACAATAAGGTCTTGAGAAAGCACTTTGCTTTTACCCATCATGAGACATTTCTGGTGTAACACTATATAGTTGAGATCAGGCAATCAATTGAGACTGAGCCAGCCGATATTAAATTTACACTGACAAGGAGCATTATTGCTTTCTAATTAATCACTGATACATTTCATCTGGTATCATGGCTTTCCATGCCTTTCTGCACTTCCCTTTCTTCATGTGCTCAATACTTTTTCCATCATTCCATTTTATTACGCATACCTTAATTTCTGAACTTATTTGTTTTGATTTCTTTGTGTGCATGGATTGCATGGGTTGTTACCGACATGTGGTGAAAATTTGACAAAACCACCTTTAGAAATATGTTTACTGACCAAAAAAAAAAAAAAAAAAGGGGAAGAGAAGGTGACGTGTTCAAAAAATTTTACCCACTTAACACAAACAAAAACATCTGCACTCTATTGACCCCCCTCTAGAGTAAATAGCTGCTGTAATACATACACTAATGTTTTAAACCAAATGTCACCCAAAAGATACAGCGCTTACATAATTACATAAAAGTGCAAAACAACCATTATACAAGTGTATATTCTAACATAGGAACTTGTGACTGCTTAAATATACGAAGTGCTACTTATATCACACACTTCCAAATATATTCTGCTCTGCTGTGTTGTATCCCTTCGAACTTTCTGCCTTTAAGGCATGTGTTAATGCATCATCACGCTGGGTGGCTTCTCACAGTAGGATCAGAGGAATCTGAGCTCTGTTATATTTGGAAGCCTTTTAAAATGTGTACTTACGCGAGTGCAAAAACGAAAAAAAAGTATATGTGTGTATATATATATATATCTATATCTATATATATATCTATCTATCTATCTATCTATTCACACATACACACACTGTATATGTTTCAAATACAACTGTAGTGAGCATCTTTTTTTGAATTCTTTGAGAAGTATGTGGGGTACTGAATAGCATTAAGGAATGAGCCCAGGAAAAAGGAAAGATCTAATGAGGCTGGGATTTCATGACCCAAGCAGGGAAGGAGCCCTGGGAAAGTTATGATCTAATGCTGTTTCTGAGCTCTTATTAACACGCAGGCGAGAGCACACTTGATTGCACACTTCGGATTTCCTTACAAGTATCATGTTTGGACAATTTTTTGGCCCACTGCACAATATGTGCGTTTTTATTGTAATATATGTATTTTTTAAGCACCATGTCACATGTTTCACAGGATTCTAATGTAGGCATGTCCTACTGCTTGTACTCATACTCGGTTCACTTACAAGCGACCTAGCACCCGAAAAAGCTGCACTTCTGTATTATACAAACAGTGACAGAGTTCTCATAGCCATGTTGAAGTTCACCTCTTCCTAGTGCCCTTGCCTTTCTATTGGCTAGTAAGACAATCCATCACACTTTGCAGCCAATAGGGGAGTAAGGGGAGCAGACCACAGCGCCTGTTTGTCTGACAGAACTGGCTTTTTGGAAAAGGAGCAAAGAATGTTTTCAGGCATTTGGATGTATTAAGATACTTAAGACCAGGTCAAGGGGTAGCCAAAAGAGGCTTTGCATTTTAACAGAAGGGGGGGCACAAAGAAGGCAGGACCCGCACCTCATGGGGCTGAAGTAGTTCACAGCTAATGGGAGAGCACACTGAGCCTAGGCTCACACATATGCAGGAAAACATGTAAATTGCACGCGTTCATGCACCCAAAAAGCGCTGTTCTTTAGCAGATGTGCAGGGGTACCATTAAGAATTAATGAACCACCACGCCCCAGAAAATGCAGCACATGTGGTTCTGAACGGCTGTTCTGCGGGTGAGTTTTGGGAACTTTTTTCCCCTTATTTCCTGCAGGTACAGCAGCCAGTTCTAATCAAACAAGCAAAGATGTGCACCTAGCCTTAAGACTTTCCCCCTTGGATGATAAAGTAGGTTCTTTTGGACACATGTAGCGCTGGTTCAGAACCTGTACTACAGAAGCACCAGACAATCAAACTTACCGTAACGTAATAGCACGAGCTACAGGGTCATTACTATGTATGACAGAGAAGACTCTCTTTACAAATTCATCCACATTGAGGATCTTCTCAAGGTGCTTCTCGCTCTGCTGGGTCACTTTCAGCACACACAGTCGGAGAAAATTATTCCTGGAAAAAAGGCATATGGGTCATCCATCTTTGTAAACAAAAAGGTATGGACAAAATTTTCAACCTTGTTTTGAAAAGAGAGCATTTATAAATTCACAACATAGAATACCTATGGAAGACAAATACCAGGAAGTCTGTGTAGTCAACTAAATTTATTTTATATAATGACACTTATTTTAAGCTTAACTCTGGGCAGATATAAAAGCAACAATTAAATGTGGCCCTGTAATCATGAATTCCTTTTTTTTTTTTTAAATACAAGAAGTGCAAGTACCTGAATTTGTCCTGATATCTTGCAGTTCCTGCACAGCAGGAGTCAAGCGTGAGGAAAAGGCAGTTCTAAACTAATTGGTTCACATGCTGACAAGAAAAATATTAATGCAGATAGAAGGAGGCAGCAGACAATGAGCTAACTGCAGTGCTACTACTTTCAATGTTCTAATTTTCCCAATCTGGGGCGGATCCTGGCCTCACAAGAAGTGGAATGAATGATGCCGGCCATCAGACTGAGGATATCTAGTGGCAGAAAAGAAGTACTACAGGGGATAGCGCATACTTAAAAGTGGTTCTACATGCAAATCATTTTTTACCTTAATTCATTCTCTAAAATCGAGATAAAAAAAATAAAAAAATAACTCCCCACTACCTAATCTACCCACCCCATCCCTAAACACTTACCAGACTCCTCTCACAGCTCCAGCACCGCTCCCCTCACTTTCTGGTTTCACAGGAAGCACTGATGGTTTCCATTGCTCTAAGCTTCTGATGCTGTCAATAAACCTCATGTGAGGAGGGAGTGGATGCATGGCTTACCAGCACTGTGTGTGTCTATGGATGCACACAGCCTGTCTTGTGACAGCACCCAGCTTTCTAAGGAGGGGCTGCCAGCACTGACAAAGGACTGAAAAAAGATGAGGCAAGGGACCGCTCAGCACAATATTGCTGCAAAGAGCAGGTAAATATAAATGTCTTTAGTGTAAAAAAACAAAAAAAAAAAAAAAAAACTTTATTATTACAATAAATGTGATAAAATTCTTACATTATTTTCTTTCAACAGACTTAATTTTTGTCTTATTTTTGATTGGAGTTTCACTTTAATGGCTGGACAATAGCTACTCAAGGCACAACTAGGGGCCTATTTAAAAGGCATCTGTCATGAGAGAATCATGAAGGCTGCCATTAGTGATCTTTTCTTCAGAAAATGCTAATTGCCTGTTTGTTATGATGATGTTTTGGAATTAACACTGACCAGGAGGAAATATACACATATGGAACTATACCTTGACAGCATGTTTGTCTTGGGATACACTCAAGGTGTATTAGTGCCCCTCACAGCCAGGTATCAAACATTTGTAGATAGCAACCACTGACAGCCTCCTTACTGTCCCTTCACCTTAGGACACACAAAAAACAGGACTCACAAAAAGGGGAAGGTTTACATGGTAGGCACCCATGAGGCATGTCCTCTAAAGCTTTGCTAGTGTTCAGTCACATGACAATACAAGCCTATAATTGAGAATCAATGAATACTCGGGCTGTGTCCTGTACTACACAATTAAGATATTTGTGTAATGCAGTTCAGATGATGATGAACAATTAAATATTAGATTTTCATATGGCAAGTTATATAAAGAAAGAAAGCATCCAATTGGTCACTGTGAACAACACCACTAATTAATGTATCACAAAATTCACATAGCCTGCCTTCTTAACTACAGAGGTGCTGAGAGGAGGTGTTTTACAAGCTGGAGTCATTACAGAAATCACTGCTGGCAGGCAGGAAGGTACCATGGGATATGTAGTCCTTAGAAGTTGAAAGTAAACAGCAGGGGAGAAGCTGCAAAGCATGCAGGGAATCCAGGAAGCTGTACAAAGAAGGTTAACAGCCAGATAGAACTCACAACATAAAACAATATTTTTTTCAAGTAAATTTATATTGAATTGTGAAAAAGTATTATGTATTATTTGTATATAGCTATTGCAATGTGTCTGTTATCAAATTAAAGTTTATGCGGGGACCTTTAAGCACACCAGGCCACTCTGATGCTTTGGCTGCTGGGAACACCAAACCTTGGCCATGTGATTTTGCATGAGCTTCCCAACTCTGCTCACCATAGTCTATTTATGAACATTCTTTATGCAGTTTAAGTAATAAACATGCACACGATCATTCAGAAATTAGTTACAGCGCTCAGCATAAATGAGTACATCCCTTTTGAAAAGTAAGATATTAATCAATATCTCAATGAACACAAAAAATAATTTCCAAAATTGACCAAACTGAATTTTACAGAACATTTGTTTAGCTCATTACATGAAGGTAAGGTTAATAATATAACTTAGATTACAAAATCTTCAGTTTTACTCAAATTAGTTGATGCAAAAATGAATACACCCCCCAACATAAACTACTTCATCTAGTATTTTGTATGACCTCCATGATTTGTAAGGACAGCACCAAGTCTTCTAGGCATGGAATGAGCAAGTTGGCGACATATTGCAACATCAATTTTTTTCCATTCTTCAAGAACGACCTCTTTTAGAGCCTGGATGCTGGATGGAGAGTGATGCTCAACTTGTCTTTAGAATTCCCCATAGGCGTTCGATTGGGTTCAGGTCAGGAGAGATATTTGGCCACTGAATCACTTTCACCCTGTTTGTCTTCAGAAATGCAACAGTGGCCTTAGATGTGTGTTTTGGATCATTGCCATGTTAGAAAAGTGCACGACAACCAAGAGCACAGAGTGATGGTAGCCTCTTCTCTTTCAATATAGAGCAGTACATTTGTGAATTCACAATACCATCAATGAAATGCAGCTCCCCGACACCAACAGCAGTCATGCAGCCCCACAGAAGCAGACTGCCCCCACCATGTTTCACTGTAGGCACCATGCAGTTTTCTTTGTACTCCTCACCTTTGCAACACCATACAGTTTTGAAGTCAACAGCTCCAAAACCATTTATCTTGGTCTCATCACTCCAGAGTAGAGTCCCAGTAGTCTTTTTCAGCATGCTCCCTGGCAAATTCTAAAAGGGCTTTTTTGTGCATGGGCTCTAGGAGAGGCTTCCTTCGTTGACGACACGTATGCATGCCATTCCTCTGAGTGTACACCGTATTGTTTCACGGGAAACAGTCACCCCAGTTTGGCTTTCTACTTCTTTAGCTAACTGCAGTGAACTTGCATGGCAATTTTCTTCTTCCCTTCTCATCAGAAGACACTCCTGTCGAGGTGTTAACTCCCGCAGACGGCCTGGACGTCTCTGTGAGATGGTTGCAGTTTCATCTTTGTATCACTTTTGCTACAGTATTCTCTCTGATAAGTAAAGCTTTGCTGATCTTCTTGTAGCCTTCACCTTTCTTGTGTAAAGAAATTATTTTCTCAAGCCTTGTGACATTTTTCTTCCATGTGGTACCATTGCTGACAGCATGAAATGGGGAGGGGTTTTCTTTAAGTAACGGCCTTTTATAATCAACTGTCTGCTGGACATCTGTTTAATGAACAATTAGACTCACCTGTAGTTGAATTCTTGTTAATTCGAATTTTATTGTCTAAGATTTAGCTTTGCTCCTAAGACTTTCATTGGGGTGTATTCATTTTCACAACATAGTCTTGAATGAATGTTAGGAAAAATACTTTGTGTGCGCAAATGAACAAATCTTGTTGGCAATCAATGGCCCGCATTTGTGGGAGTATTTTGTAGTATGGTTTTCCATAGAAAATAAGGATTCTGAAAGGAAAGTAAAGATTTTCTGACAAATCCGTTGGGGTGTATGCATAGCTAACTCATCCTATAGATGCTTAGAGGCCACCTACCCAACTCTGAACACATCAGCCAGTTTGAGGAAAGCAGAGTTGATGAGGATGGGGAACGGATACTTTTGAAACAGTCTTGGAAAACGGACAACGGCTTCACACTGCTCTCCGAGCTTCCCAGATCGCAACCCTAAAAACAGAAAATATAAACACATTGATAAAGTGTAAAATAAAGTATGATTCCTCCTACAGAGGTTTGTTCAAAAGAAGATGCTTGATTAATAATGCAATGTGTACCTTTACTGAGGGTCTAGACCAGTGGTCTCCAAACTGTGGGGCCAGATGCGGCCCTTTGCTTGCTTCTACCTGGCCCTTGGAGCACTACTTCATCCACTGACACCAAGAATGGGGCATAATTCTCTCCACTGACAACAATGAAAAGGGCACAATTCCTGCCAATTACACCAATGATGGGGCACAATTCCACCCAATGATACCAGCAATTGGGCTCAATAACACCAATGATGGGGCAAAATTCCTCTCCATGATGGAGCACGATTCCCCAATGACAACGATGGGGAACAGATCCTCTCAAATGGGGCATTGTTTGTGCCCACTGATACTGGGACATTTTCTACTCCCAATGTCCACAGTCTGGCCCCCCTAAAGTCTGAAAGACAGAAAACTGGCAATTTGCATATAAAGTTTGGAGACCCCGGGTCTAGACTCTAGGCAGTTAAAACCTCCTCAATTCATGCGATTTTCAGTCTAGATATATTTGGCACTTATTAGATTCCGTTTAAGATTTATATATGATGGTAAATGTAGACATCATTGTGTTTGTCTGCCCTTAAAGAAGAACTCCAGGATTGGGTCAAAAATCACCCATTAGTACAGCTCCCTATACAAAACAGTTAATACAATTTTGAAAATCCTTACCATTGAGGAGAAATGTTCAATTGAATTTTCATGACCTCATCACTGTAATTCAAAAAAGATTACAGCATCTCTGTCAAGGAGGTGGTGTAACAACAGGGATTACATCATTTCTTCTCCTCCATCAAAAACAGGGAATTGTAGTGAATGTGGGCGGGTAAACTAGGCCTGTACATGTTGAATGTGTCTGAGAGTCTCAGTCAACCCACCACTGCAAGTGGAGCTCAATTACATCACTGCATCCTGCAGAAAGAACTACAGAAGGGATGTGCCAAGACCAGTGGCTGGGGGAATAGGAGGCATAGTAAAAAGTGGTCTTACAAACAGGAAACCAAAGAGAATTTATGGTTTGATTTGAAAATTAATAGGATATTTCAGAGTAACGACTGAGTGAATCAGACGATGGAGGACATATTCAGTGAAGGTAGGAAATCAGCAACAAGGACATAAAAAGAATTTAAAAAAAAAAAAAACTGTTCTGCTTTAAAGTACAACTGGAGGGCCAATTTTTTTTTTTTTTTTTTTTTTTTTTTTTTTTTTTTTTTAAGTTTTGCATAGATTGGAGGGGCAATAGAGCACGTTCATCTTTTCCACTGACAGTGAAAGTAAAGGAAAACTCAGGTTGTCTCCAGAACAGGAATAGAGGGGAAATCCTCTAATTGAAACACTAGTTCTGGTGACAACCAGGGATTCCCTCACTTTGGAGGGAAACCTCTCCAATGGGACACAGAGGGCAAAAAAAAAAACCTGACAAGGTGTGCTGGAACTCCCTCCCATCACCATTTTATCTCTTGATATCAGGAAAACTCATCGGATGTGATTGATGCTGATAGCAGAGGAACAAAGCAGCCAACAGAAATTACACTTATGGGTTTATTTACTAAAGCTGGTTTACTCAATATCTCGTGCCCTTCGCATGGAAACCAATCCGCTTCCAGGTTTTATTGCTAAAGCTTAATTGAACAAACTGAGGTTAGAAGCTGATTGGCTACCATGCACATCTGCACCAGATTCTGAGTGAACCAGCTTGAGTAAATCTCCCACTTAGTGCTCCTTACTGAGGCAAGTACACACTGTAGAGGGATATGCTTTGTTCATATTTCAAGTCTGATGTTTACAGCCACTTTAAAGTTTTGTTTTCTACAGCTAACTTTGTGAGGAATGGGAGGAAAGCAGACCTTCCATTAGCAAAGACAGTCTACCTCAGACATGTCCATCTAAGGCAAAGCAGTCCACAAGGTGACAATGCTGTTTGTTTTTCAGTGAAATCACAGAGCATTGTTGTCACCCTGTAGACAGGGAAGTCCTAAACTCACCACAAATGTTAGAATGTGATTGTACTATGTCCTTTGGATCTCCCAGTATGTAGTGCAAGGCCCTGCCTGCTTGGATACAAATTGATGTGTGGCGGTGCATTGCACTGTGTTATGCTGCGTACAAATGAGCTGTGAAAACACGCAACATTCTCTAGTTTCCTTATTTCAGTGCCCACCAAGGCAAGAACATTGGTCTGAATCCAAGCAATAAGACAAAATTGCCTTGTGTATGTATTGGGACAGCGTTGGAGATGGTGTCAATGAACCCTTACCTAAAGCAGCAGATTTTAAGTGCAGTTTCAGGCTACTGCAGACTGCTACTGAAGCTGTCTGGCAAAATCTGATCACGGTGTAGCCGTCATCATGCTCACCCGCCAACCGGAGCCTGGAGCCCGCCACAGTAGTTCAGACTTCTGCTTTGCAAGCTATTTTCATGTACCTGCTGTGTGCAGTTGTTGCATGCTTGCTGCCCATGAGATGTTTTACTAGCAATCTGGTTGTGGCATTTTTAAGTGTAACTTTTTAATAAGAAAATGTTTTTTTTTTAACATATTACACTATTGGTACGCACCGCTTTTCTTTTTTCGTCTCAATCCAAATATTGGAGGAGAGATCCTGATGGTGGACAATATGCCTGGAGAGTCGTGGCTACAGCATATACCCAAGCACTTGTGACCATATAAAACCTAATGGTCCACATCATCCGGTAAGATGCTCCTAATGGTGTCACTTGGTGGTGGATGCACACTTCGCTCAACAGCAAGTTTAATTGCAGGGACACCCTTCATAGAATTTGGATTGTAAAAGGTTTTTTTTTCTTTAAGTTTGTTTTCTCTTTTTGTGACTTTATTTTTTCTATCATATTTTCACTTTTGCAATATAATCATATGGATTAATTGATTTCTTTGGCAAATATGTCTATTCACTTGCAGGATGTTACTATGGATATTTGATAGTAATGGTATTTAGCTCTTTTTGTTTTCATGTATCTTTTACAAATTTACCAAACAATTGCGTATTATATATTGTGTTTTTGTGCATTACAATTCAAAAAAAGTGTAAAATTGTGTTTGAAAAAAGCTCTGAGCAAATACTTCTCTAGGACCTCTGCTAATATAATACAGCGGGTAAAAAAAGGTATTGAACACGTCACCATTTTTCTAGGTAATTAAATTTTTAAAAGTGCTACTGATATGAAATTTTCACCACATTGGTAACAACACATGCAATCCATATATACAAAGAAATCAAAACAAAAAGGAAAAAAGTATTGAACACATTATGACTTGCCCTCCAGAGGATTTACCCCCCTTCCTGACCAGGCCATTTTTTTGTAATATGATGCTGCATTACTTTGACAATTGAGCAGTCATGCAACGCTGTACATAAATTAAAATTTTTGTCCCCCCCCACAAATAGAGCTTTCTTCGGTGGTATTTGATCACCCGAGCATTTTTATCTTTTGCGCTATAAACAAAAAAAAGACTGGCAATTTTGAAAAAAAAAAAAAAAAAACAAGCAAACAATATTTTTGACTTTTTGCTATAAAACATATCCAGTAAAAAAAAAAAAAATCAAATGTAATCATAAATTTAGGCCATAATGTATTCTGCTACATCTCTGCTGAAAAAAAAACCCAATGCATGTAAATTAATTGGCTTATGCAAAAGTTATAGCATCTACAAATGGCGGTATATATACTGGAATTTTCTTCTTTTTTTTTTTTACTAGTAATGGCGGCAATCAGCGACTTATAGCAGGAATGCAGCGAGCATTCTGACACTGGGTGGGAACTGACTGCCACTGACATCACAATGACACTAATACAGCGATCTGTGCTAATAAAAAGCACGGGCACTGTACAAATGACACTAGGCAGGAAAGGGTTAACATCTGGAGCGATCAAAGGGTTAACTGTGTGCCGTTTTTACATAATGTGTGGTGTGGTATTTTACTAGGAAAACATGCTGCTATGTATTTCTCCACTGTGCAGAGAAATACACAACAGCATGTTTTTGCTTGCAGGAGAGAGACCCATGTTGTTTACATACAGGTCTCTTCCCTGTCAGTGTTACTCAGAGATCGCTGGGTGCTGGCGGGGAATCTCCTGCCGGGACCCGGTGATTGACATCCGCAGCCGCCAACAGTGGCGCAGGTAGGGCGGCGCGTGCGCCCCCTACCCAGAGATGCAAATCACATATAAATACACACACGTGATTTTGCGCAGCCCTGCCGCCCTGTAGCGGTAGTTCTACTACAGGGCGGTGGGCAAGCGGTTAAGAAAGGGAGGTACAAAAAGGTTAGGAAAGCCAAGACACCAGCTGAAAACTATCAGTAATTAGAAAGCAATCCTGACCCTTGTCAGTTCAAGTTAATATCAACTGGTACAGTCTCAACTGATGGCTTATAAAAAAAAGAAGTCATTCCCAAGGTGTCATCCTACGATGGGCATAAACAAAGAGCTCTCTCAAGGCCTTTGCAACCTTACTGCAAAACATACTGATGGCATTGGTTACAGAAGGATTACTAAATTTCTGAATGTTTCAGTGAGCACTGCTTGGGACATAATCCGTAAGTGGAAAGAACATAATTTTACCATAAAACGGCCATGACCAGGTGCTGCTCGCAAAATTTCTGACAGAAAAGTGAAAAGAATTATCAGAAGAGTTGTCCAAGAGCCAAGGACCATTTGTGGAGAGCTTCATAACGACCTGGAATTAGCAGGTACAATTGTTTCAAAGAAAACTATAAAGTAATGCACTCAACCTCCATGGCCTGTATGTACACTCACCACCCAAGACTCCATTGCTGAAGAAAAAGCATGCTGAAGCTCATTTAAAGTTTGCTGCACAACATTTAGACAAATACTGGGAGAATATAGTCTGGTTAGATGAGACCAAACTTGAACTCTTTGGATGCCAGAATACACACCATGTTT